GGAAGAGGGCGTCACGGTATTTGACGACATAATCGGCAAATGTAGAGAGGGCTGGGTGCATTGGAGCAGAGGGTTGGTCAGCGCTCGTCGGAGGGCATCGAAATGTCTGGTATGCGTCGAGCCGTCGAGGGCATCTTGTTGTTGGTCGAGGGCCAGTGAGCGCCGCCGAAGAGGCCGTCGTTGCCGATCTTCAGGGTCGCAGGGTGACGCCATAGCTTCCACCAACCCTCGACCTTGGCCTGCATCAGCCATCCAGCAGACTGGTGCCGCTTGGTATGATATCTAGATCTGATTTGCTGCATCTTTTCAGAGCATTCTGTTTCAAGCTGTTTCTCAGGCCGCTTTTGCCATATTATTTTGCCATGAAAATGCGATACAAGTGCGCACACGACAGGGCCTGCATGGCCACGTGTATGGAAGAAACAGCAAAGAGCATCTTCACATGGCTCGACATTTACCCTTCAAATTTCCCTGGGGACCGTTGTATAGCCCAGAGAATACCTGCTGCCTAATCTGTGCCTTCACATTTTGCCCGAACATTCATTTTACTTCGGACATACTCTACCAATCAATTTCCCATGCAGCACACGGGGTCTTCTACAGACTCACACCTATGAGAACAACCACGATGAAGAGAAGCACACACCATTTCACACATACAAAGAGAAGATGCCTACTCTAAACTCACCAAACCCCCATTTGTCATCAAGACACCACACAACCTCCAAGGCCGCAACCTCCCTCTCATACAAGACCGCCCATTTTCCCCTTCCCCTCTCCCACACAAACTACCCTCTCCAAACTCTCCTCATCCTCCCCCCTCCCCCCNCCCACCATCGTGATCAAAACCGCACCCCCTCTCAGTCCCCTCCCACAAGAAAGGCACAAGGTCTTCAAAAAACCTCCACCCCACCTTCCCTTTCAACCCCCCAAATTACCAAACACCAAAACAATCAATCAAATCAACACATGTACCATAAAGCGGCGAATAAAAAAAGTCCAACATTTTCCTATACAGGCAGGCACCGAACGAAATCCTACTATTAAACGTTCTCGTCCATCAAACGTCCACCCGCAGCAAAGCAAAAGCCAGCGGGAAAAAGGCGGGTGGGTTTGGCCGTTTGGCCCCCCGTTTGATCGTCGGGGGTTCGCTAATCTATTTCCTGTTTGTTAAAAGGTAAAATGTGTATCATGCGTCTGTGAAGAAAAATATGTATGGACGCGTAACCACCATCGGCTCTCTCTACCACACAATAGCCCCCTTCCCCCTTCCCCCTCCTCCCAATTAGGTGATTTCCGCGCGCGAAGGATGGGGGGGTTTTTTTTCTCTTACGCATCTCCGTTGCCCCTCCCCCTAATTTTAAATCTGTTTCTTGTCTGAAAGAGGGAGGAGAGTAAAAAGTGTGGGGTTGTTTTGGGGGTGTGCTTGGTGGTTTGGAGAATATAAATTGTTGCTGTCCCGCTCGCTGGTTACTATTTTGTTTAGCTATCTTTTTCGCGCTTTTTTTTTTCGACATTCGTTTCTGAGAATGCGGATTTAGATGGTGAGTAGCTACTAGGTGAGTAACAATCGTGTTTGCAACATAGCATACCCTACCTGCTGGAGATGACGCCAAGTGAGCAATAACCCTAGTGGGTTTGGTCGTCTTCCTGGATTAGGAAAGGTAAGGCACCACCGCTCTGCCTCGTTTTCGCGTTTTCGGCGAGTTTGAGCGATGTGAGAATTGTTCAAAAGGGCCCGAACCTCTTCCCCTTTCTCGAACTTTTTGGTCTTCTCTCTCAGTCTTGCACTCATCCCCATCACTTTCTTTTCACACGCATGCTCAAGTCGTTTTCTTCTTTTTTTCAACACATTGTGCATTCATTCCTGCTTCCACTCTACACACCCGTTGACCCTCCACATTGTGCTTTGCTGTTTATACGACGCACGTCGCTCTTCTTTCTCTCTCCGTCCCCTCTTCCTTTCCCATCCCGTCCGAATATACAAAAGGCCACGCTAGCCAGCGCACCTACAACCTCCGTTCTACCTCTCCATCCAAAGAATAACAAAAAGCGTGTGCCAGGTTTTATATGTTTCTTGTTTGAAGACAAGCCGAAAGCAATGAAGAAGGAAAAATAAAGAAAAATACGAGCTAAACAAAATGAGGCCAATCCTCACGCTGATATGGGTACTAGGTATTTGAGATGTTGCTAGGCTCTCGACGCAGATGATAAAACAGACGCCAGTTCAGTATTATTCAAAACCTGTACTTCAACCTCAAGGGCATCGACAACCTCGTGTCATTGGCGGCTGGGGTTTGGTTGAGGGCCCTCTCATCGGTGTCCAGGCTGCGTCTGTCTACTATGCGGAGATAGGTCGCTAAATAACTAAATGTTTCGTTTGTGGTACAGAAGAAAGATAAGGATGCAGCGCACGGACGGGAATGTCGGATAAATGAGGCCGGGATGCGGTGAAGGGCGGGTAGGGCATGTGTGTGTGTGTGTGTGGACACAACTACTCTTCCATCCTTCCGAAGATTTCATCATCGTCCTCGTCAACGCGGCTGCGACTCCGCGCGTTGGAGTAACGGTAGTCCTCTTCATCAGCAAAGTGGTCGTCGTCCATGTCGACGTCTTTGCTTTCACTAGTGTGGCGATAGCTGTTGCGCATACTCGACTGCTGGGCCGTGACGGTAGTGCTACCAGACAGGGTGCGGGCATTCAGGTCAAAATACTTTGCTGGGAGCGGGGGCACGGGTGGCGCATCTGCGGGAAGGGCAGCGGGCCCCGTCTTCGGGGTACCGTAGGAGCAGCTGAGCAGGCCGACGGCAGCAGCGAGGTCGGCGTGGTCGTTAGCATCATCATGGTAGGAGCCAGCTACCGAGGTGCCTGAAGTAGTGGGGCGGTCAGAAACATTACTCCACTGTCGGAAGTGGCCGTGCGCGTTACCGTTGCCGTTGTCGGAGAAGACAGTTGACTGGTAAGATTGACTATAGGCAGAGCTGTTGGTAGAGTAACGCTTCATGGAGCGAGTGCCAAAGTGCGAGTGAGGGTAAGAGCCTACGGCATGGTCGTCGAGCTGTGGGGGCGGGGTAGTTTCAGTGGAGCTCAAGTCCTCACGCACGTCGGATGAGCCCGAGGCGGGAGGAGAGGAGCGGTCGCTGTGCTCGCCGTCGCTCTCCTTGTTCATGGCAACGAGGACCGAGGCGGCCTCGAGCAGCTGCACCTGCTGATGCTTGGAGATGAGCAGCTTAGACGTGTACTGCCATTCTGGTGTATGCTCCCATCTAGAATCATAAAAAGTCAACGCAGAACTTGAAAAGAGCAAGGCAGGTTATATGGACATGCGAGTGAAGAAAGGGCATTCGTCATGAGGCATGAAAGTATGTGGCAGGGCCATGGGAGGCTAAGGGTTACTAACAGGTGCTTGGTCAGACAGCTGCTGTGCTTATAGCCTTTGCCGCATTTTTCACATCTCAGTTCGCTACCACTTCGCTTGCCGTCGCCCTTGGACAGGCGAGAGCCCTCGCTCGCGCGGCGGTTCCGCGACTTTGCATTTGCCTTGTCCTGCTCCAACATGGTTGCGAGTGTGGGCCCGTCGGTGAGTGCCTCGCTCTTGGCCGCACTGCCGTAACTGCTGGCACCGAACTGGGCACCATGAGCGGGCACACTCGAGGCCATGGCCGAGGCCATTGCCATGCTGGGCCCCCTGAACTGCGATGCGGGTTTGGAGGAGCGGCGCGGTCCGCTGCTGCTGCTGCCGTTACTACTGGCGCCCTCGAGCGGAGCCCCGGACATGCCCTTGGCTGCCGCAGCGATGGCAGCAATGTTTGTGACGGGCGTCTGGCTCATGCTTTTCCTGCGCGTTACGCGATGTGCCGGGTGGAGGTTTGCGGCGGATATGGATTGCGAGTGGGTTCGGTTCTTGGGGAGCGAGCCAGCCATGGTGCTGGATGAGTGCCGTTGTTGGCTGGCGGGTCGGACGTTGATGGGTTCCTGGATAGGGGGCAGCCGGTCAGTGCGAGTCCGAGGGGAGCAATGGCAGCGGGAAGCAGTAGAGGTACCTTGTGTACAGTCATGTTGGGTCCCCCCCAAAAAAAAAGTTGCCAGTAGTTTGGTGTTTGCTTTGTTCGTCCGGCTTCGTCAGCAGGGCCGAGCAATTGTCGCACCGTGTCCAAAGTGTCGGGGCTGCAATGGGCGATGCGGCTGAAACGGGCTTATTGAGACAATGCAGGGCAGCGCAGGGAGTCCGTGTGTGGGAATATTTAACAAGAAGTGTGTGCGGGAGGCGTGTGCTAGGTGAAGGAGGCGTTTATCCAAAAATACGGCGTGTGGACAGTTCGCGGAATGCTATTCGACAAGTGGGGTGACGCCCGAGCTCCTGATATGGAGTTACTACTGTCCGACGGGGAGTCTCGATTGCACAGCCTGGGAAGATGTGGCCGGGCCTGGTGAAGAACAACGCACTGCTGGTTTGCACGACAAGGAGGGTCGGGGCAAAGGGGGTTTGATTACATGGAGAGGGAGGGGGGAAATAAGGAATGTCAGACTGTCACAGCAATTCCAGACGCAGCAACTTTTTTATTATTTGGTCGCAAACATGGCACGCGGCATCTGGGGTCAGCCGGACGCTCCCATCCCACAAGCCGACCAACGTGACTGATAAGTAGGTAGGCCCCGGCGAAGGCGGCCTCCCAAGCTCCCGCGCATGCAGTGGCTGGACGCGAGCAGGCAAGCCCCCTTTGGCCCTCTGGACTGGACCGCACCGCTTTGGATCAGGGAAAGGCTGCAAAGGCCCTGGGGGGATCTGGGATGCGGCATTTCCCCGCGCGCACTGATTGCGTGTTTCAGCGGGCACACACGCGTCTTGGGGCGGCCCTTGGGCGCAGGACCACTGGATGCCGTGGTGCGCTGTGGTGCGCTGCTCGCTCGCCCGGCGCTGGCGAAGGAGGGAAACTTTTTTGTGCGTGTTCCTGGCCCAAGGGCGGGCTTGTCAAAGGGGACCACGGCTAGTGCGCCTTCTAGAGTGCATCCCCGCTTGGGTGATTCGAGCATGGATTCACGTCGGGCTGGCTAGGCCTGGAGGGGACAACGCCGATCGCCAGGCGCATGCTGCTGCTAATCGCAGAGGGAGAGGCACTCAGGCTTTGCCATGGCCGCGCTTGGGCCACGCCGGCTCGGGCGGATCAAGGCCACGGGGAACCGAGCGCTTGTCTGCGTCTGGAGGCGACGAGCGGCCTCAGGCCTGCCCAGCCGATCGCTGCTGTGTGTGGACGGCGTGCCTGCCAACAGGCGTTTGCGCCATCTGCATCCTCTGTGCCCGTCCAGCAGCCATGGGCCTTGGTGTCGTCCTCGCTGCCCACCGCAACACACACTCGTCGCCAGCCTGACACGCCCTCGGAACGCGAGGCCGGCGCTTGGCGTCATCGCGATCGGTTGCGCGCCTGGCGTCTGTGCTGCTACTATCGCGCGAGCCATCGCCCCGTCCTGCCATTCGCTGCGGTGGAGCCTCTGCCTGTTGGGCCATGCCGCATCTGCACCACACAACCACCGCCACATGACGGCCGGCCTGTGGTGCCCTCCTGGACGCCGTCAGCATCGCGACGCTGTGTCGATGAGTAAGAAGCACTGCGTCCATGTGTGCACCGCTCCATGGCCCAGACAGACACAGCGGCCTGCATACCTACATGCTCGCTCTCCACCCCCATCCACCCCCCCCGCCAAGCCATTGTCTTCGCTCCGGTCACCGCGCTGCCTGCTTTACACACGTAGTCGCTCCCATGCCCGTGTGGGCGTGCTGCGCTGCACCCAATGACAGCCCTTGGCTGAGGAGCCGGTTGGCAGCATGGCGGTGGGGTGCCCTGCGCTCTGGAGTCGCCATCCACGTCCTTCCGGTGTGGTGTCTTCATTCCATGTAGGCATAGGATATGCACATGCAAATGCAGATGCAGGAGAGCATTCAATTGCGCCTGCCGGTTCGGGAGTCCCGTGGCTCTGGCTACTTGAGGGGTCAAAGACGCCACTTTGCCCCCCCGCACGCCTGCCATTGGCACTGCGACAAGTCTAGTACAATTGGCCTCCATCGCCCTCTTTGCTGTCCGCAATCTTTCTCCGTCCTGGCAACCATTTTGTTGTAGCCTGGTGGGTGTCGCTTCAGGGGCCTCAATCGGCACTCGCCTCGTTTGCACGTGCGGCCGCTGACTCAGACATGTGTCGAAACACATCCCCTGCCATGCCCACTTTGGCCATGCCCACTCTCGGCACACCAAACCACGTAGGGTTTCATACTACCGACGTGACGTCATTCGCCATGACTGTACACAGTACAAAATAATTCCGTCCTGCAGCATCGCCCGATGCACAGCTTGCCTTCCGTGGGTTTTTCCATGACGTGGGCAATCTCGGCCCGTTGTATAGCCAGAAGATGCTGGTAACCCGTGACTAAGCGATGAACAATCACCAACCGCTTCTCGTCTTCCTTGCTCCCACAAACAACAACAACAATCCAGTTTCACTCCTCCCACAATCGAAGAGTCGGCCCTTCGAAAAGAAACAATGTTGTTGAGCACCAAGCGCATAGTTGCCCAAAAGTCCCCACTTGAGGTGTTGGCTGCGACTTTTTTTTTGAAGATCGGTATGCGTTGTCGCCAACGACGCCTCATGCTAGCACCGACAGAGTTGCGGTCTGTCTTTTTTGCACAAGTGCATCTGACCGCGGGAATGAGCAATGTTAGTCCTGGTAGCAATCGCACTACTCAGTCTCCAGATGCTGGTCCGGTGCTTCTTACTGTAAAAAGCACAAACAAGAAACAGGGTCTCACAGTACTGCATGTCCCCGTAGTCCTTGGTGTGCTCTCTACCCATGCCTTCTGTCCAAATCATCTCCGCTACTTTTCACTGGTTGTACAATTGGATGATTTTGTAGAGGCTTGTCCAAACTGTCAAGCAGAGACAGGAGCTTCCGATGCTGACGCAGCTTGCGCGGCAGGCTGGGCAGGTCATTTAACATCATCTGACTGCATGAAGATTTGTTCACCCACTGCCTCAAACATCAATTTTGCTTTCTATGAACAAATGATTTGGTCATGGTTTTGTACACGATCGATAACAGATGGATGTGGGATGACTTCTGACAAGCATACAGCACAAAAGAATACTCCAACTTCTCCGTGGTCCTGCATTCATCCTCTGGTATGCAAAATCAATCAGAGCATATTATATAATGATTCTCTTACATACGTCGCTGCGGATAATAAAAGTAGTCTGTGAAACCAATATGTCTGAAAGGACATCTGTATATGTAGTACAGGGGCATCGAAAACGGTACCAACCTTAGTCAGCAGCTCACGTGCTTGACGTTCGTCATCGTGCTCGGCAACCTCAAACCGTCCACCAGCAACATCGCTGCCTAGACTCAAACTGCACCCCCACATCGCGCACAATACTGGAACATTGAGCCACATCTTTAAACGATCCGTCGCACCTGTACAAACCTCACAAGCTCCAAATCGCATCATCTCACGCATCGACGATGGCGGACACATCCGCGCAACCTAAGCCAAGCAGCAGCGTCAAGCTCGTGCTGCTAGGAGAAGCAGCTGTGGGAAAGGTGCGCGATATCAATACATCAGTTTTAAACATGAACTGACTCCCATGCTAGTCTTCCCTTGTTATGCGCTTCGTGAACAACGACTTCCAAGAAAACAAAGAGCCAACTATCGGAGGTACGGACACAGCCACTGCTAATCCTATTCTCAAGCGGCGCCTTGGGGGCTAACATGACTCTCGGTAGCTGCTTTCCTCACGCAGAAATGTAATCTACCGAGCCGTACTATCAAGTTCGAGATCTGGGATACCGCAGGCCAGGAACGTTTTGCCTCGCTCGCACCCATGTACTATCGCAATGCGCAAGCCGCCCTCGTCGTGTACGACATCACCAAGCCTTCGTCACTCACAAAAGCTCAACACTGGGTCGCCGAACTGCATCGCCAAGCCTCGCCTGGTATTGTCATTGCACTCGTAGGAAACAAATTCGATCTTGCCACCGCTGGTGACGAGGACAGGCCAGAGGATGCAGACGCTGCGCCTGCAGCCGAGGGAGAAGAAGAGCAGGCACAAGACGATCAAGACTCCAGGAGAGTGCCCAGCAAGACTGCAAAGGCATATGCCGACGAAGAGAGTTTATTGTTCTTCGAAACGAGTGCAAAGACTGGGCACAATGTTGCTGAGGTGTTCACTGCTATCGCAAACGCAATTCCAGAGGCGAGCTTAAAGGGACCACGCCATGTAGGCGGCCAAACCAACCTGGCTAGGCAAGATGCTGACCGGGTAAACCTGGGCAGCGCGCAGCCACAGGGTCCCAAAGAAGGTTGTGCGTGCTGATATGCTTTTGGGCAATGGGCTTCAACTACATATTAATGGGCGGAAACACTGGAGATATAGATTGCCAGAGTGTTGATCGCAGCTTTATGACGATATTTTTTTCTCTTTCCTACCCCTACTTGGCGTTGTATGAGGAGAAGCGTAGTACTCTTTTGCTTGTCAATAATATTGTTTAGCAATGCATTGAAGACTAGCTGCTTAGTTATGAGAAACTGCGCTAGATATATCAGAGCAGGAATGCTACTGTGATACCTGTGCATGCCTTGAAGATTATCAGTACTTCATCCTCCCTTGGAATAGGAGTGACCATGTTTGGTCAATGACCTTGTATCTGGGATATGGGGATTGAGTCCTTTTTTTTGATCAATGGTTCTGGGTCTTATATGTAGGCCATTTCTCTATTGACAATACGTGGTGCGTAGATATGTTTTGGAATAGCAGGTGTTTTGTCAGATAGACTGACGAGGAATTGGATTTCAAGGGGGAAAATTGTAATATTGCGAACGTGTCTATTCAAGACACCTTACATCAGCCTCAGTAGCTTATAGACGAGGACGTCATACGCGAGACGGACTCACAGTGATAAAAGTAGTCCCTGCAAGCGCGACCAAATGCGGGGCCGCTGCGCACAAATCTCACGCTAACCTTTTTCCTCTAAACAACCATACTTCTCACTACTCATTCGCCCTTGCGGAACTACCGTGTTTGACTCACCAGACATCACTCATTTCGACTCAGGGTGCTGCCTAACGTAATACTGCATATATATTATCAAAGTATCCCCGCAGTTGTCAATATTCGCCCCGCAAATATTTCACGTATCTTCAGCAGGACCATCACAAACATGGCCAGAGGTGGTCGTGGCGGCGGCAGTCGCAATCCGGCCAATCAGCCAAGAGAAGTGCAGGTTTCGAAGAAGATAAGCTGGTTACTCAGACATGGGGCTGACCAGGAGGGGTTGAAGTTAGGAAAGGGTGGCTATGTCAATGTTCAAGATGCGGTAAGTTTGTAATCGCAATATACATAAAACAAAGTCATCAGAAACAAAGAAAAAACGCCAGATCTTGGAACACGCTTTTTTAGAATTTTGTTTGAATGGATTAGTTTTCACTGGCACTTTTTTTTTCGGCAAGCAGTAAAAAGTAACAGCAAACAGTTGAACACCAAGGCTCTACAAAGCCTCAAAATCACCTTTGCAGAAGTCCGCGACGCAGTCGCAAACAACGAGAAACAGCGCTTCTCCATGATCCCAGTCTCGTCGCTCGACAATGAATCTTCTGAAGCGCCTGCATCTGAACAACTGCAAAGCATACTAGAATCAGACAATCCAGCAGATTACCTCATCCGCGCGAACCAAGGTCACTCCATCAAAGTCGACAACGAAGGCCTCCTTGCCCCCATCACCACTGAAGCAGGAAACGTGCCGGAAACAGTCGTCCACGGCACCGATGAGCGCGCCTGGAACCTCATCATCAAGAGCGGCGGTCTCCGTCCCATGGGGAGAAACCACATCCACTTTGCTTCTGGACTACCCGCTGGATTCAAATCCCTCGACTCCACGCCTACATCTGCGGACGCTGTGCCAGTTATCTCTGGTATGCGCAAGGGATCGACGATTCTGATTTACATTGATATCAATGCTGCTCTTGCTGCTGGTATCAAGTTTTTCATCTCGGAGAATGGTGTCATTTTGACCGAGGGCAATGAGCAGGGCTTTTTGCCGTATACCTTCTTCAAGCGCGTGGAGAGCAGGAAGAAGAATGGCGGTGTGTTGATGAGCGATGGAAAGTTGCCTGAAGGCGTGACTGTTGACGTTGAAGAGTGGGAAAAGGAAGTTGGTCAAGCGAAAAAAGGTAGGGGTGGTGGTGGTCGGGGTGGTCGGGGTGGTGGTGGAAGAGGTGGCAAAGCAAGAGCAGCAAACGATTCAAGAGATACGACAGGTAATGCATAAAGTATCACTCAATTAAAGAACAAGAGAGCATGCAGATAAAGAATGCGAATTTTTTTCATCTTCATAATACTGATTATACAGTTAAAAAACAATAGGTATATAGCAAAAGTATCCTCTCCCAGAAGCCATTTTTCTTTTTTGTACCGAGCAACCAAAAAAAAAACTCTTTGTCTATATCTTACATAGGAAATAGTGGGACGTGTGTAAAAAAAATTGGTTGTAGAAAAGTGTTCGTGTAGAAAGTATGTGCGACGAAGAGTAAATCAAGAAAGGTATAAAAAAAGTTGTCTTTAAAGAAGAAATATGACGTAAAGAAAGAATGAAGAAGAATAAGAAGGTAGGCTAGAAAAGAGGAGGAGGGGATGGGGGGATGATCAAACATCCTGCAGTGGTCGTCCTTGTGCCGCAGTCTTCTCGGCAAAGTAATCCCTCGCTGCGACACCCTCAGTCCTCAGCACATGGCTACTAGGCCTCGAGTCCTTACGGAAGTCAGGCGACATGACAGGTTCAGGGGCAGCAAGGCCGTCGTACGAGTTCCTCGCGGTATCCAAGTCATCGACCTGCTCCTCAACACTGGGGCGGCCACCAACGGTGCGCACAGTAAGGCGACGGCCCAGGCCACCCTGCTTGGAAGCCTGATCCTCTTCAAGGCGAATGACGACCTCGACGGCCTTTTCGTCCTCGATGACCTTGGGGTGACGCTTAGCGAAGTACCGTGCGTACTTGTACAGCGACCAGTAGCAGCTGGCGACGTTGACAAAGGTGAGGACGATCTTGTAGGGCAGGTAGTAGACGTAGAGCAGGACCCAGCCGACGCGCTCGTTCTTGCGGCGGAGATGCACCTCGTTGAAGATGACGACGTTGATTGCGTACATGACGATTGTGGCAGCGAGAAGGTAGCCGCAGAAGTCGGGGCGGACGTAGAAGGAGATGGGCAGGATGAAGGGAGTCAAGAGGTAAAGGAGAGTCTCGTAGACCTGGATTATATATGTTAGTATATATATATATATATATATGTGTGTGTGTGTGTGTGTGTGTGTGTGTGTTTGTGTGTGCGATGTAGCAAAAGGAGGGAATGTGCTTACCTCTTGAAAGACGAAGATCTTTGCGCCAATCTCCCACCAGCCGAGCTTCCAGTCGCAGAGGATGTAGGCCATATTGTAGTACATGCCGTTGACGAAGAAGAAGTTCCAGCGCTTGAAACGTTGAGAGAAGATGGTCATTTCACCGAAGCCACCACGAGAGCCGCCACCAGCGAAGAAGACGGCAGTCGGGGTCTCGGTCTCGACGAAAACCTGCGAGCACATCTTGATACGAGAACCAAGCTGGCGGGCGACGTGGCCAAAGAACCAATCCTCGGATACACTGAAACCAGGATGCTCGTGGAAAGTCTTGATGAGGAGTTCGCGGTCCCAGAGGGAAATGGCGCCGTGGGGAAAGGTAGCAGAACCGACCTTGCCGGCAAATTCACGCTGGATACCACTAAGCTTGTACTCAAGATCCTGGGCTTGTTGGCAAAGGTTTCCCTTGGACCCATTAGGTCCGACGGATTTGATGGTGTAACCAATGCACTTGACTGTGTCGGTCATGCGGTCAGTGACGATGGGGAAGTTATCGGGAAGGGCGCAGTCATCGTCGATGAGCAAGACGTTCTTGAACCCCTTTGCAGCATAGCAGCCAACGAACTGAGCAACAATCTTTGATCCAATGGGCGACCAGATGTGGTTAACTCCGTATGGGCGGCAGACCTCTTCCGTGTTGTCGAGTGGCGTAGGGCTGTTTCCGTTGGCAATGACGAAGATGTGGGATGCAGGGAAAATCTTCAAGGCAGCTTCAAGAGTGTTGGCAATGAGGCCGGCGGACTTGTAGCAAGGGATCATGAGACAAGTGTCTTCAACAGTGGATGAGTACTTGGTTTCTGTGGTGTAGTCGGCAGGTGGAGGGTCCTTCTCGAAGAGGATAAGAAGAGGAGCAAAGGCGTAGCTGTCGAGGGATTAGCAAAAGCTCAAAATTGTCCCCCAGGGATCAACTTACAATAGCGCAATGCCCAGAGTGATACCGAATCCACCCGGAAGAATAAACTTGGTTTGGACAACCCAGTACATCCACCAGACCGCACCCTTCCAGAGCGGCATACCAATAAGCACAAAGTAGATGAAGAGGATCATGACGAGATACAGGCTGTACTCGAAAGTGTTTTGCGCCCATGGCTTGCGCTGGATCTCGATACCCTTCTTCTTGGCCTTCTGGTAGGTTCCGAACAACTCACTCCGTTGAAAGTAAGATGCGTTGGTCATGCGACGTTGCAAAGAACCAGGAATGATACCATCGACCACTGATTGCAGAGTATTCTTCCGCTTGTGCTTAGCATGATGTACAGGTTCAGGTTGCTGAGGTCGCCCATCAAATGACCCGCGAGGCGTGTTGTTTTCCGTTGCGAAAGGATCGCTCTTGATTGAGCCTGGCTTGGAAGCAAAGGGGTTATCGTGGGAATAGTTTGATGATATGCTAGCTCTCCTCTCAAAGTTGGGTGATGGTGCTCGGCTTTCCCGAGGAGTGGTAGTCAGGACTTCGCTTGAGCCAGGTGTATAAGAGAGGGTTCGCTGGGCCCTCGTGCTTTCTTCGTCAGGTGAGGGAAGTGCATATCGTGAGGTTCTGTTGTTGTCGAAGGGATTAGCTGCGGAGAATCGAACACTTCTTCTTCGTTCGCTTTCGCTTCGTGTGCATCCGGTATCGTTAGAATCTTGAGTGTCATTCCGTTGTAAACCCCGTGAGCGTTGGTTGCTGTTTTGTCGGATGGCTGGCCGTCGAGAGCTATTCTGTCGAATGGCGGAGCGTTGGGTGTCATTTCGCCGAATGCTTCCTACCCCTGCGTTGAGGAAAGGGTTCTCTTGTATAGGCTCCCATGCAGCAGTGTGGGTGGCGGTGTTGTCCCGCTTGGATCCAAGATTGCCAGTCGCACGGAGGAGATGAGCAGGAACCGCAACATCCTGGGGTTGGGAAGGCATGATCTCACTGGACCGCCGGCCTTGTCCAGGGAAGTAGTCTGGTTGTCGAGACGAAGTGTCGAAAGGGGACACCATTGTGACGAGTAAGGTAGAATGTACTGAAGGATATCAAGCCTCGAGCGTAGTTATACCTGGGCGGTGGTGAAGATGATGAACCCCATTGTCAGCGGGGGCCATACTCCAGATCTTGTACTTTTCGCACATTCGGGCGGGTAGTCGGATGCCCTCATAGCGCCATCAGGATCTGGAATCACCAAAGCGTGCTAACGGCCCACAGCTCACGAAGTGCAAGCACCCAAGTGTCGATCGAGACGGACTGCTTCGCCCATACTCTAGAATTGGCTGGCTTGTGCGCCACAGATGAAGTCTCCTCTGACGTTCACGGCTGAGCCTGGACCAAAGAAGTACCCACGTTGCTTAATAGTGACCCAGACTAGTTAGCTCCCGTCAAATCTTAGCCTGGGGCAAAATTCATGTATCGAGACCTGACCTGAACATGTTCGAACGACGGCGGCCAAACTAGTCGGATCGTACTAAGTCAATCATTGAGCCACACTATCATCATTGCGTAAACGATTGTGTACACATCAGTCTAGCAGGAAAGCATCACGTCAAGTCTTCTAGGGATGTGCAGTTGCAAGCGATATGCTTTCTCAACATGTAAGACGAGCGTTTTCGGAAGCCTGGGCATCATTTCTGCAGGGCTGTCCAATACGTACATGCATACGGCAGTCTAGTAAGACGTGAAACATCCACAATGATTCCGACAGATCGACAGGGGCCCACGAATAAGCCCAGTTGACGGAGAAGTCTTGGCCAGGGGTAGCTGACGGAGAAGGTCACGTCCCGATTTCTGGGTTTTGGAAGAGCAGTTCATGGCGTAGCCGTATGCGTGAGCCTGGAACACCGCCACATGGACCTGCATGCCTTCGGGAGCTAGAAGTAAGCCATTATGAGTTGAACCAAAGAAAAAGTAGGGGTTTGAGACGCCGGTCATGGCGGCTGAGGAGGCTGTCTAGTGTTGATGGGCGTGCACAAGAAGCTTGTAATTGGTATGTCTAGCGTGGATCGCGATCGAAATTGAAGGTGTGATTCCTAGGCAAGAGAGCCCCTGCAAGTTGTTGCTGATGGAGAATAGCGTTGGAAAATATTTTTCTCCCATGCTCCGAGAATGCATGGGATTTCTGTGGTACATGCACGGGGTGCTATGATGACACGTGGGGTCCGTATTATTGCGCTGTAGGACCTGAGTACCCTTGCGCAGGAGAGTACTTCGTGGGTCGAGAAACACCGAACATCGCCGGTTCGGTCGAGCTCGGTGGCAAAGCGCATTAGGCCGTGGGTGGATGTAAAGTAGAGCAACTACAAAAGGTACGTCCAGATCGCAGATGCGCGCCCCAAAATTGGCGGTCTCTTCTTTGTTTTTGTGGTCGACGCTACTGTAGTGTTGTGTCCTAATGTTGGCGCCGCTACACGTATGTCACTTTCCATGGAGGCGTCTAACCATCATTAGATTCTGACCCTCCGCACTTCTCCACAAAAAGAAAAAATAATAGAGAATTAACACTTGGCAGGACCGCAGCGTTGTTGGTGAAACTGAGCAGGATCAGTATGTTTATGAGGTTGAGTTGTACGTCGCTTGGAAAACGCCGTTCCCGCCGGCCCGTCATGTGAGCCGCAGTAAGGCGTTCTGAGAATCGAGTAATTACGTCAGCCCCACCTTAGATGAAAGAGGCTTTGCTGGGCGTTTGAGGTACAACAACTGTAGCCTCCATTGACCCTTGATTTTTTTCGTCAATTACAGCACGAAATGAACGCCTACGCCTCACAATACCCGCCGGCTATTCCTATTGATCCTTCATACAAGGAGTTTTTCCAGGCCTTTTACGCCACATCGGACACTCCAGAGGCGCACGAAGACTACGTCAAATACTTCACAAAAGATGCAACACTAGTCATGGCTTCCAAAATAGCAGTGGGCCGAGATGGTTTGTCGCGCATTGCTTTTTTCGTCTAGCCTCCACTCCACACTTGCTGTAGTCCTTTACTTCCTGGAACCGCAACGGTTGATTCGTCCCGATGGACTGACTCTTAGTTACAGAGATCCTAGCCTTGCGCAAAGCCATGTGGGAAACGGTCTCCAGCAGGGCGCACGCACCGCTGAAGATATTTCCGTTTGGTCCAGACGCTAACGAAGTCATGTTGTATGGAACGGTAAAATACGGCCTTAAGGTAGGGGGAGAGTCAAGTAAAGACTGGGCTGCAAGGGCGCACCTCGTCAAGGAAGGAGACGGCAAAGTGATGATGAGCTTCTATCAAGTGTATCTGGTACGACATTCAGCCTCCACACGCCCTTGTTCAGAAGATTTTGAGTTAACAAGCGAATCAAGGATACAGCGGCATAGATCAAGTAGAGTGTTGATCTTAGGTAAATCAATGCACCGGCTCTTGGAGCTATTGACGTATTTGGTAACATTCGCTGTACACACGGAGCTTGTCAGCATCGTATCCGATGCTACTGTTACCTAAGTACCATGACATTTTCATCTCTGAATGAAGTGGGTATGGGGGACGCTCTAACTCCCGGAATCACGCTGAACAGGTAACTAGTTCGCTGTCTTCCGAAGCAATGATGGGTCTGTTGGTGTACTTAAACTGGAGACAACCGCATGGTTCTTCGGGTCGCCCGGTTTCTCTTCGCAGTGATTCAGGCCGATGGTCTTTTGAGCAGATACATGCTGACCGCGCCGGATGTCATACTGATGCAAGAGCACCTCCGTATTCAGCTACCTTCCACTGATCCCTGCCCACTAGGGACTTTAATGTATGCCGTATTCAGCGTGATGCCTGGGATGCCTGGGATGGGAAAATTGATTGCTGCCGGCTTCCGCTGAATCACATCCGCCATCAGCATCCTTTGCAGTCGGTAATTTTCTATGAGCTAAATGTCATACCGCCTCCGCGGAAACGTGCAAATAGAGAGGGCAACTTGGCGGTGACCGGACTTGGGACAGAGTGCGCCATACGAAGACCCTCTGCGACTGATCATAACGGTTCGGCTTGCCATACTGACCATATTTGGCGAAGAGTTGCTCATCTGCTAAGCTGACCATGAAATAACTTTACCAATGAACTGTATGCGATTCCGAACACGAACGTGTAGGTACGTATCACGCATGTTTGGTACCATTTTGCATCATAAACCTAAAATTCAATCTGGAGCATGCTACCCTCACACCAGATCACTCTCCGCACTGATCTGAGTGTTCAGTGCTAGAACTCGGCCCTTTCGTTACCGGAGAAATTTCTATTCTAAGGCCTTGGATGTTTTGGGCGGATACCGTTTAAGGGGTAGAATAATGACATGACTCGTTAATGAGCCTGGATCTCGGACCTTCGGGCTGCCAATCGCGATGGCTTACATCCAGACACTGTTGGTAGACGCCGCGTACCATACCGTCTCGTTGAACCCCGAATACCACACGCGCGATCGCTTGAGTACCAAGCGATCTGGACCCTTGTGTAAAAAGCAAACACAAATCTAGGGTTGTTTCTCAGGTTCGCACACCACTTGGGGATTGAACGCTAACGCTAAGTTTCAAAATCTGTCAGCGTCATCCATGGTTCGCGTGGTGTGACGGGCGCTAGTTTGCTTTTGGCACCGCACTTGCAGCGGACTTGCAGTGAACCAACAGGCCCTTACATTAGAAGGAAACGTGTCAGCAGTCCCAAAGCTTCAAGTCATTTTTGTACCCAACTACATATTTCAACCACTTTCCAAAAAGTTCATTAGTAAGCAAACAACGCCCGGCTAGCTCAATCGGTAGAGCGTGAGACTCTTAGCTTTCACGTCCTGAACAGACTCGATTGGTTATCTCAAGGTTGTGGGTTCGACCCCCACGTCGGGCTTGAGATTTTTTTTGCTTTTGCCGCGGACCTATATACTCTATGGTAATGCAGGGCAAGATGACTTGTCGAGCGATTTGCAAATCTTTTTGCCCCGCGGATACCATTTGTCGTCATGCAGGGCAAGATGGCTTGAGAGATTTGTAGATCTTTTTGCCCCCAGATGATCTGTTGCCTCAGCCGCATAGGCGAACAAAAGCAGGTTTTCTAAGCTTGTGGAAGATGTCAGTAGTACAGGGACATAACTTGTACGTCAGTGTAGATATTCAGAAATGTCTACTACACAGGTGGCGCCTTTGATCGGCTGAATCACGTCACTGTGTGATTTTAGCTAATTTCATAGGCCTCACAGATGTGTTGACTGATTCTCTGAAAACAGGTCTTTTGCAGATACTGCTATTCTTGTTCAAGAGCTCTGTCCTCTTTAATGAATCGTCATGCGTGCTACCAGAGCGTCTGGAAAGTATCAGTCAAAATTTTATCTATATTTAGTGAATTACTGTTCAAATTCCGCTTCAGATACTACTGAGATTCCGCTGTGTGGTGAATTATGCAATTTTCCTTTCTGCATCTACTTTTCCTATTTATGTCATCTTACTCATCTCTCGATTTATCTTTCGTACTCATTTCTCACGTAAAGGTCTGTCTTACTCATATTAACGCACGTGAAAGAAAACGAACGTACTACGACTCAATAAGCTCAAGCTCTTTTACACTCCAATGTTCAATGCCCACGGGGGGTTTCTGGTGTAATCTCCCCTCTTCCGTATCAACGAAGAACATAGGCATAACAAAAAACTTTGCTTAAAACAGTTATCTTTTTTCTATACATACTTGTCAGAGCAAAAGGCAAACTTTAAGCTTCGGCCGGAACCTTGACTACAAATACCATGACACACTCATTCATTCTATGCTATAAATACAAAACCGGTCCGACCATCTGTAAAGCCACCTGTCATGTCGGGGTACATGGCGCTGACAAGCATACATGGAAAACTAACTCTATACAGTTTTTGTACACATTCAAGACAAGCTTCTACAAACTATGGAAGATTGGCAACCCGAAGATCGGGACTCTTCGTCTGTTGAGATACTATAGAATACTTTCTTAATACAAGGAGTTGTGGTAATTTCTTTCCTCTCGCCAACTTAAAAAGATGCCGAATTCAGCACTTCGCAAGCTTCATGCGGGATCAGTCCCTCGGTAGTCTTCAACGTTTTCAACGTAGCAGTCACATTCAAGACTCTTGAATATACCTGCTGCGACAAAGACACAGGTGCTAGACGCCCACCATCACGACCTAGCCTGTTTTTCAGATATGTTCTGAATTAAATGCAGTTTTGTAATTTGAGCTGGAACAGTAGGGGAGGTAGTTCATGGACAGGCTGCCAATAGCAAGGTTGGGATAAGTTAATTTCATGGTTTGATTCGGCCAGCTTATTACATCGAATCCAGCCAGTCGACAATGTGTTTCAGTATTCATCAGCCACAAAATAGGGTCTTGAGTTGATTACTTGATTAGTTCTAAGTATGTGTGCATATTTATTATAAAAAACCCCTATCTTGTACATTGGCGAGTGTTTCTCTCATAAAGGGAAGATGATTGAAATACACTCTAGCCTTCTGTCTTCCGTGAGTGAATATTAGATAAGAGATATGTGCTTAGTGACAGAAAAGTGTTAAAATGATACTGCAACCATTCTCTGTCGCATTATTGAGAGGGATCATTGTCTCATTCCTCATGCTCCGTGAGAGAAAACGACAGAAAGCATCATCCAAAACAGAGACTCGGGGATTGATACGAACTCATCAATTAAACATGCGACTCCTATCTCGGTCGTGTTTACATCTGCCCCTAGATCATCTCTCACCGCTAACTCCTTACTAAACTCACATCTACTTATACAACAACAGCCCCCAACCCCTATACCCAAAGCACAACAGCCGTCTTATCTACAAATCCTTGGTCAAGTCATAAATCTTCTGAATCTCCTTAAGCTGACCCTCATGGTCAAAGTTAAGATCCTTCAGCCTTCCGTCATGGAAACCAAACACCCATCCGTGTACAACAGGGAACTCATTCTCAGCCCAAGATTGTTGTACAGCCGCTGTCTTGATAATGTTCCTGCACTGCTCATACACATTGAGCTCGACAAGCTTATTGTACTTGTCATCCTCGGTTCCCCCGTTGGCGATGACATCGTCGAGCTCCTTTTGGTGCAGGCGATATACGTCGCGGATGTTTCGTAGCCAGGGATTCAAGAGGCCCATATCCTTCGGGGTCATGGCGGCTTTAACGCCACCGCAGCCATAGTGGCCACAGACGACAATGTGCTTGACTTTGAGGTGGCGCACAGCGTAGTTTACGACGGACATGACGTTGAGATCGATGTTGCAAACGAGGTTGGCGATGTTGCGGTGGATAAACATCTCGCCGGGCTCGAGGCCGGTGATGGCTTCGGCTGGGATACGGGAGTCGGAGCAGCCTTGAGGAAGTGTGGTCAGTGTTTGCTTCATTTGATTTGGTCTACAACTGAGTGTTTTGTAGGGCGATTCAGGATATTGAGACGAATCGGATAGCCAGTTGATTGCCCAGCCGGCTCTCCGGAATGACTTCAGCTACTTCATACAAAGATTGACTCACCAATCCAAAGATACTCGGGAGCTTGCCCCGCGCTCATCTTTTCAAAGAACGCAGGGTTCTTCTTCTTCATCTCATCGGCCCATTTCTTATTGTTCTCAAAGATACGGTCATGGCTCTGCTGGAGGTACTTGCGAACCTCCTTTGAGTCTTCTGTTCCAGTCATCCTGGGCCACGAATACTGTCGTTTGGTCTGAAGAGGCTGCGCGGCAGAAGTTCCTTGTAATTTTGGGATGGACGATCCGGTATAGCAGAATCGCGACGAAGTCCGACCAAGCAGTGCAGAGACTGGCGAAGGATTTAAAGGCAGAGGTGAGCTTGATAAGAGACGCGCCGGAGAAGAGAGAAGCTGCCCCGCGGCAACTAGCTCTCGGAGGGCGTGGGGTAGCCGGTGCGGCATGACAAGAACCAAGATAGACAGCAAGTCCACAAATCGCCAATTCTTTTAGTAATTGTGCCGGCAGACTCGGTTCACAGAGAGGGAAGATGCGCGAAACCAAAAATATTTGTCCGGTTCTTTTGTTGTTTGTTGCGCGCCGATTGGGCGCTCTGACGTTGACGAATTGGGACATCGGTCCAAGGTGGTGGGGAGCTTGTTGTAGATCGGTACGTAGACGAGAGATCTAGCGAACGGATCTCATCCAGATCTCAAGACCCAGATTGACCCGGGGTTCTTTCTGTGAAGCATCAATATCCCCGTCTGCGCCCATCATCATCGTTCATGCTACACAAAAAGTTTCAGAAGACACCAGACCGATGTCTCTGAATGACAACCAGCGCAGTCTCATCCTAAATCATGCCGATCGTCTGCTCACCACTCGGGCTTGGCCAAAGACGATCTGCCCTTCCGAGATCGCGAGCGCATTGTCCGGCACAGAGCTGGACACGTTGAACGCAACAACATGGAGAGACACCGTGGACATTATACGGCAGCTACTGTGGGAGAAACGGGCATCTGGCGGAGTTGAAGTAATGCAAAAGGGAGAAGTGGTAGCCACAGAGAGCTTAGAGGATATCAGAGGTCCGAATCGAGTGAGAATGACAAATACACAAGTTAGCCAGGTATAAGGTAATAATATCCATGCTTACCACAGCAATCTACGTCTGCTCAAGCTGTTGCTACGCTGCCAATGTTGCCAATGCTCCGACCAACGCCGAATGTCAACTCCGCCAGCGCCCCCCGCAAATACATCAACTCCGGTGAACTCCAATCAATACCCCGTGATTACTCATTTCTCAGGATAACTGGCCCCGCTGACGTCGAGACCCTGCCATTTCTCATTCCAGCCCATGCCTGGATCTGTTGCATTGCCCACTTTGCCCTCCTCGGTCAGATTCTTGATATCACTCCAATACTCCAACTTCTTGCACTCGTTGTCCGCTGCCTCGACGGCTTTGAGCAGGTTGTTGATTCGGCGTTCCTCGGCTTCACCTTCAGGCTTTCCGTCTTTTTCGTGCTGTTCGCGGTGTTCTTTTGCAGCATCAAAACGGTCCATCAGCGTCGAGAGAAGTTGTCGGCGTGAGTTTTGAAAGATGAGCATGGACATGATTGCAGGAATCTGCACATGTTAGTGGGATGGAATTAAAGAAACGTGCGTGAGAAGTGTGTACCTGTTCTGCAAGGTAGTGTAGTTCCTCACCCCCATCGTTGATGAATTTGTGTATGTAAATAATCTTCTCGCGGTCGATTGCAGCAGCCTTCAACTTCCTCATCAATGTGGCAATATCTCTGATCTCTTCATCCAAGCTGGTTTGAGAGCTGTCCAACAGACCGCTGCCAGTGCCAAACGTCGTAGATCTAGCCAAGGTTGTACCGATGCTGAATTGCTCACCAAACATGCGTTCCTTCGCGTTTGCTCTGGTCTTGGGCGGCAATCTCTGCTTGACACGTCTTCGCAACCAACGCCGCCGGCGGACAAAACTATGAAACCACGGATGGTTCCCATGCCAGGCTGAGCTCTTGAACAAAAAATTGTATTGCCAGCCTTCCTCATCGACATCCAGGCTCATGTCCACATACCAAGTTTTCCAGTCCCATACCCAGCTCGGGTCAGGCACCTGTGCGTTTGTGATGTTGACAGCTGAGGGCTTGAACTTGGCATCTTGCCAGGGCGCAGGATCGATTCTTAGGTTCCAGAGCGCCTTGGAAGAGAAGAGCGGTATGCCGAACACGAACCAACCGCGCTGGTTTTCGTAGAGGATGTCGATGTGGGAGCTGGCATTCGTGAGCTGCTGCTCGGATTGTGTGACAGTCGTCGAAGGCGTATTATCGCCATTTGTGTGGTCAACGAGGCTTATTGGCTGGTCGGCCATGCTGTTAAGCTAGAGGTGTGTAGGAAGGAGGTCGAAGGCGGACGCCGTTGCTATCGCCGAGACATGAGGTCGATGTGGTCAGACAGGCGCGCCACGCTGCGTCTGGAGCTCCGGAGAGTTTGATTATCTTGTACGAGAAAACGAGGATCGATTCGTAGTGTATCGTTCGGGGTCGTGAATACGTTGCTGCGAAGGGTGCTAAGGTTGGTGTATAGGGGGTTCGTGGCCAGGACGATGCACGCACACCCGATCAATGTCAAACACCGCGCAACTAAATTGCAAGTCACGCTAAAGCTACGGAAAAACGGAAGTACCTTGGCAGAAGCAAAACTGCAGAATGAATGGCGTGTGGTGCCCAACAGTCATGATGCTTTTCGAGGAGTTCACTAGTTTGGCGATCTAGTTCGCACGCGCAGTTGGATCATCCAACTGCGCAGGAATTACGTCACACTAGCTGCGCTGCCTTGAAAGTCTTCCCCTCTTTCTTAACAGCGCTGATTCTTCATTTTTGATTTGCAAGTTCGCACAATCTAATTCCTCTTCAAATCCAAAAAAACCCCTTTCTCCAAAAAAATCATTTCAGTCAACATGTCTCGCAGATTCCTAACCTACGGTGGTCTTACTGCTCTTGGTGGAGCGACTTACTACCTCTACAACGCTGGAGGCGACCCGAAGCTTGCTGAGAAGAAAGCAGAACGTGCGTCGTCGAGCGTCGCTTTGAACAGAACGCAAACTGACTGATGCATAGACGATGCGGCGAATGCTACGCGCAGACTGAGAGGCGACTACCCTGGCCAGGACAAGGAAGCGAAGAAGGCAGCCGAGGAGGGTTACGAGGCAGTACGCGCCACCGCACAGCAATACGTAAGTTTGAAATAGCCTTGTCCTGTCTGCAACATGGCCCTTACGTCGACCAGGCCGACCAAGCCAAGGCGGAGGCGAATAGACTTGAAAAGAAGTTCGATGCTTACAGCGCCGATGCGAAAAAGCAGTACGAGCATGCAAAGGTACTTGCTGAACAAGAGCTACACCAAGCCGGCAAGCAGGTCAACGCAGCGGCGAACAAGTTTGATGCCGTCGTCGAGGACAAGGCGGCAAAGGCAACGGGCTGGTTCGGCGGCTGGTTTGGTGGTAGCAAGTAAAGCATGAGGCATGAGCGTGCTGTTGGCGTGGTGATGGTAAGACCAGAAGAGAGCAGAAGCATCCTTCTGGCACTTTGCATAAGCATTGGAGTACATGGGCGTCAGTTCCTTCATCTCGGTAGCATAATGTAATACTCATACATATACCACTGTTGGTTCTCCTGTCGTGTAGTGGTTCGCGTGCGTGTGTACGAGAAGCCAGCTGCATGGCGTTTGCGTGCAAGTGCGGGAGGAAGAGGAAGAACATGATATCATTCGATAGCAGAGAACTCTGCCTAACTCAGCGCGTCATTGTCCAGACGTGTATGGAGAAAAATGAGTGGTGGACGCGCTGCCATAGGGCGGGGCATTTACTCGTTTGGGTTTCAAATGGGTGGGGCTTTAGTTACGCGACGCGAACGCGCAACGCGTCGAGCGTCTCTCCTTCCTTCCTTTCTCTTCCCTGCTTTACATACCCCCTCTGCTCATATACTGCACCCCATCTCCTTTGCACCACAAAGTGACGCCCGCACGGCATATTTCTTATCGACATTGATCCACGTATCTTATTGCCGTACCATTCTCATCTCGATCTTCAACAATGTCGCCCATTGCTCCTGGCCAGCTTCCGGCCGAGCTCGTCAACCTTCTCGCACTCCACTCATCCTTTCTGACGGCCCTCTCACTGCATTACGCGCACAACGGCATCTCGACACCCGCAGATCTCCAGGCCTTGACTGCATCTACGACTCTGGTATGGCGCCAGCGCAAGGTCACTTACGATGACGTACGGCTGCTCATCGGCATCCTCGACCACGGCCCTTCTGGCTCCAACAACCCCTACTACCTATCCGACTATGGCCGTGGCAAGATTTGCATCGAGATTAAGGAAAACAGCCCAATGATGAACGGAATGACGCACATGAACGAACAAGGCCTGCAAGAAATGTTCAAGGAGGGTCTAGACACATTGTGGTCCCAATGGTGTGCATCGCAGCAGATGTCGACTCGACCTATTGCCGTACCCAAGCGTGGACGGGGACGCCCAAAGAAGACCGATGTCAAGCAAGCAACCATGGAGACTTTCCTCGATGACGCTTCCATCTCAAAGTTCCTCGGTCAACTTCCCCTTGCCGAGATCACCACATGCGAATCGCTTATCGTACTTGCACCATCACAAGAGAAAGGACGTAAGAGATTAAGGGAGTTCAAAGAAAGTGTCCAGCAAGGACGTGCACAAAAGAAGACAAGACCAGCGACAGGCAAAGAAAATGAGTCTACTACATGCCAAACCCAACAAACTCAACCTGCACAACCCAAGATCACCGAATTCGCTGCCGTTCGCAAAACCAATCTTCTCGACCGCATCCTCGCCAAACAAGAAGCCGCCAAAGCTGGACCTGCTGCTCCTAGTCCTGCTGAGCTCCAACGAAGAGCAGCACTCCAACGCACCCCAGAAGTTCTTGGCGTTCTCTCCCTCCTTTGTGCCAGCAAACCTGGATCTCGTGTTTCTTTCTCTACTACCGCTCTTCTACAGGCCCTACAAGGCTCCATCCGAACTCCTATCTCAAAAGATGAGGCAATGAAGTGTGTGGAAGTGTTGGCGAACGAGGTTGCACCAGGATATGTCTCCCTTGTCAGTATGGGAGCCATGTCTAGCGTGGTCATCAACCAGATGATGAGGCCCACGGACATCAAGAGCAGGCTTATAGCGCTGGGCGCATGATCACTATATCTTCTTTTTCTCACTTCATTTTTTGTACAACTATCGATTCCCATTGCCGGCGAGCAAAGCTTTAGCACTTTTCAGCGTGTTTCTTTTCGGCCTTTTTTTCATATCAGCCTTTTTTCAGCCGACCTGGTGAACGCAGCATTATACAGCATTCATGGGGGGGGGGGGGGTTCCTGTTTGTATAATGAACTATGCCTTTAATTCATGTATCAGATATCATTAATGACACTCTTGTGTGTACCATGTCTCTGCATTCATCATCTGACCTGTATTCCCTGTGATGTAAATAGGACGAGGAACGCACTCAAAACTCTCACGCCAATAACGTCAGGATTGCCAATCTCAAATTGGCAGCTTACCAGCATATCTGGCTTGCTAGCGCCAACCCAAGTAAAAAACCTTGCAACAGGAAAAAATCCCAGTCGCTTATCTAAACAGAGGTACCCACTCTTCCATCACCTTGCCAACATCCCAGCATCAATTACTCCAACTACATTCAATCTCCACACTGTAGCCTCCAATAACCTAATCCAAACATAACCACTTATCACAAATCGTTCAATCCCAAGACAACAAAAACAAAAAAATGTCGCCCTTCTCCAGTATGGCCCGCATGCTCCTAATCATGCACTCCCTCGTCAACATGGCCCTCGGCGCATACAGCTTCGTCAACACGCAAGAATACGCGGCTATAACCGGTGTAGAAGCTCCCGATCGGGCCTTACAATCAATTGGTAAAATCACCTTCTTTTTTTTCCCCTCTCCATAAACAACATCTAACTTACTTTTTTTCTCAACACCCACGTTGCTAACACCAACTGTGCGAAAAAAAAAGGTCTCGTTACCATAGCAGTGGGATGGTACCAACTTATGTTCACGCTGCAGGGAAACAGGCGTATGATGGCGTCTACGATACCGCTGAGATGCGGATTTGCAGCCGTCATGGCAATGTGGGATAAGACGCCGCTGGTCATGTATGAGCTTTGCGTGGTGTGGTTTTGTTTGCTTGCGGTATTTGCGTAGATTATTTTTCTCTCTACATAATCCAAATTCGGAAAGACATACCTACGGTGACCATATCTTTGTGGTACATATAACATGAGAATGACAAAAGAAAAAAAAAGAGGGGGGAGGGGAGATATCTAGCTCCACTTCACAGTCCCGCCAGCCTTTTCTTCAAGACTCCATCCGCCATATGTATCTACAAATCCTTCTCGCGTCAGATATTCCTTATGCTCCTCGCTCCTCCATGCCAGTACTGAGCCGAGCTTCCAGCTCGTGTCTAGCTTGTCCAACACCAGCTCTACAAGCTGCACATTCTCGGGCTGTTGCACTTGGGGTTTCGCCAGGATAGCGGTAAGTTCTTCCTTTGTTGCCGCGCGGTGGAACGAGGAGGCCGGGTCCGGGTGGTGGTATAGGGGGAGGAGGTGAGAGTAGTTGTGAGGGACGATGTCGTTATATGCTATAAATTGTAAGAATTCGTGGGTAAAAAGAAAGAGAGACGAAGGGGTTTGATAGAAAAGAAAGATACTTACGTTGTCGAGCACCCCAGATCAACCGCTCAATGGTATATCCCTCGTTGTTAATGACAAATATCACAGCCTTGCACTTTGCCTTGATCATGGTGCCAACCTCCTGGATTGTCAATGCCATGGATCCGTCGCCAGTGAATAGTAATGTCCTTCCCTTGTTGCGCTTGTTCGCTGTCTCTAGCTCCCTCCTTGCCAGATCGGCGCCTAGTGTGGCTGCAGTCGCAAAACCAATGCTGCCGTAGTATATTTGCGTTATGAGAGTAATGTCTTTGGGGAAGGTGATGTCGCCGATTCCGGGGTTCGAGGTACCTGTTTCGCTGATGACGACGTCACCGGATTTGATGAAGGCTTCTATCGTGGGCCAGAGCCAGGATTGCGTAAGGTGCTTGGCGTCGGCGTCTAGAGGGGTGCGCGGAGGGGGAAGCTGTGGCTTGGCTATGGAATGTTGGGCTGGTGAAGGGAGAGAAGCAGATAGAGCGGCGAGGAGCGGTTGTATGAAGGTGGATGGATATGATGTGCCTTTGACCTGAATTTCATCTTTATCAGTACTAACCACTGTAAAATTAAGAACAGAGACTAGAAGAGACATAGCAGACTTACAAAAACATCAAAAGGATTGATGTGGATCACTTTCCCTTCGTCTAACTGTCTCGAGAAACCAGCCGAGTTGGTGTCACATGGGACATATCCCAGCGTTATGACCAAATCAGCTGCTTTTGCAACTTCCTTGACACCTGGAGTACTAATCTCACCATTCCATACCCCAACAAATGTCTCTTCGGTCTCGTCAACAATACCTTTGCCCATGTTTGTTGAAAAGAACGGAACATTGAGCTTCTTGACTACCTGTTGAGCTTCGGTGATGGCACCGAACCGGTGCACAAGCGCATCTACTACGATGGTTGGTTGTTTAGCCTCAGCGATCGCACTAGTAATGGCATTGATTGCCTTTTCCTGTGCTTTCTCGTCGATTTGTGGGGCCAGGTCGATTTTCTTGTCGAGTAGACTCTTGTCCACCAACTCGGCACTTAGATCCAACGGCAAGAAAATGTATACTGGCCCGCTCTTGATCACACACTCTCGGAGTACGTGGTCAATCTCACTTGGTGCATTTTCAATGTCCCAGAGCTCTGCAGCGGCAAATCGTAGCCCCTCACTAGCTTTATTGTATACCTGGTGATTTGGCTTCGAGCCAATGCTGTGATGAATCATCATATGATTCTTCTGCATTGTGCGCGTAGTTTGCCCAACGACATGGATCACCTTTACGTTCTCAGACATGCTGCCCGCAATACCATTCAGTGCGCTCAATTCACCGACACCATGAGTGGTGACAAAGCATCCGGGGACGTTCTTTATGCGGGCATAGCCGTCTGCGGCATAAGATGCATTCAGCTCATTTTGGTTGCCAGTCCACTTCAGGCCATCGACATGGAAAATTTGGTCGAGAAATTGGAGGTTGAAGTCGCCTGGTACACCGAAAATCGTGTCAACACCAATTTGATGGATACGTTCCCACATGTAACGCCCGAGGGGGATTTTGTTCTCCGCCATGATGGGTACGCCTAGCTGTCGCTCTGCTCTAATGTTGTTACAAAGTCGACAAAGTTTCTGTTGTCTTGGAGATCGTTAGTGCGTTGGCCTAAGGGTATTGTAGGGCGTGATACGTAGCCGGTAACCCTGGCAAACGTACGTACCGTAAATTTGACTCCGCAAAGACTTGGGTGTGACAATGTATGTAAGCGATATCTTGGATGACGACAAGAATAATACACAACTAGAAATAAATACACAATAGCAACAAAGGTCAAGTAGTTTCGAGCTAGGGCGCGTAGGGCGTGATGATTGACAACCGCGGGTCGGTTGGAGACGGTTAGTTGATACGTAGTGTACGTAGTGCGGGGAGCGGGGAGCGGCCTTGCATCGGAATGTATCAGCTGGGCTCGGAACACCAACTGCGTTCGGAACACAAGCACGCTCGGAGCACGGCACCACGGGAACACGTTGATTGTGACAAGTATCACACCGAAAGAGCGTCACTGGAGATACGTCGAAAGGTTACAGAACGGAGCATGTTTTATTTGTTCTAATTAGGCACTTGCTTCTGTCCCTGCAACTGAGTGCTTCTCCGCATCCTTGAAGCTCGCCATCTTAAAGTCATACAGCAGCTCAAAATCTGCTTTCGGGTCGCCTTCAAAAGGCTTAAAGTCTACAATGAGTGATTCCTTGACTGCAAAGACGGCATCATCTTTAAGGTATTTGCTCTTGCGGTCGAAAATCTGCGTAACGATGGGCTTGTAGCCAGGCGCCGTGAGCTTATGCTTGGTTAGTCTATTGCTTCCAACGCGTCCTTGTACTCCTCTCAGTCATGTGCTTCACTTCACTTACCAAGAAATGGGTATGTGCCGGTCGCATGTGGTGTCTATCGAGCGCTTTTAGGACCTTTCCCGCTGGACCATCGAAAGGAATAGGATATGGCAAAGGCCGCAAACAGTAAAAGCTGTATGCCCCGTCCGGTCCGGTTTTGAACCTTCCCCTGAGGTTCATATCTGGTTGGTCGGGGTCCTGCTGCTCATACAACCCGTTTGGTGCCGCGTGCCAGACGTCTACTACTGCACCTTCGATGGGCTTTCCAGTTTTGAAGTCGGTGACTGTTCCATGCATCCAAGTACGGTTGCCTTGTTCGTTGAGTTCCTTTGACACGATACAAGATCCCATGGCTAGCTCCGGTGCGTTTTCTCGGTAGAAGGGACCCAATATGGCAGTAGAGGTAGGTTCATCTGCAGCTGTGGAAGCGAGCTTGTACGTTATCTCATCGACAAGAGACTCGAGGCCGAGAACATCGCAAAGCAGCTGGCCTTCATTGCGTTTAGAGTCGGACATGCGACCTGCTTCATTCATCTAGCCACCCGTGGTATGTGTTAGATAGAGTGCAGGCTAGATGCGTAGCCTAAGAAAGCGTCTAGACGTACCAGTTGTACACCTGCCATCCACTCATCAACCGTAAGCTCATTCTCTCTCGCGAAATCATGCAGATGCCGTATCAACCCCGCAGCGAGCTGTCGGACCCTAGGAGTAGCATTGGGCCCTGTCGCATTGATCACTGCATCTGTAAAGTTTGGGCTGAACTTGTGTTCCTTGCTGCCAGATGCTGCTGAATTTCTTTCACTCATCTTTCTTGTCTTGGTGGTTTGTATAGTATGTAATGCTAGTGTATGAAGATCAAGAGATGTGGCGTCTTTAAATACACACTGCAATTGCTTTGCATGGCAGAACCAACTCCGAAGTAAGCTGATAGTAAATAACTAATGAAACGTGATCAAGACCCGCCAACCGGGAACATATCGGCAGCTCTTATGCGCACTAGCGCAAACCAGACGCAGATAGCTACCAAGTTCTCGACAGACATGTACTCGCCACAGCGCGGCGCGGGACAATATTGGATGGCGGGGTCGTAGAGTGATGCTTTGCAAAGTACCGATAGGAGTTTACGCCAGGGATAGCACTTACCCGAGCCAGGTGCACTATCCGATGCCAAAAGTTACAGTTAGCCGGCGAATCCCAATAGGCGCAATGCGAAAATTTGGTAGTCAGCATTAGCTTAGCAACTAGGGAATGGGGCTGCTGGTTGACGTAAAGAGTAATGCTACGTAAACATGCTCTCGGTTGACCGACGAAGTCGGAGATAAGAAGGCCCAACACCACCAATATCATCATACTTGTCATTCACTTGGGTACCGTCAACATCAAGAGTGTATTTGTCTAGTCTAAGTTTTATTGAAAACCATATTGCCGTAGTGCTGATATTGGGTAGTAAAGGTGGCTCGTCTTGGTGGACTAGCCTGCTTGGCCTAGGTTTTCCGGCTTCATCGATCGACTGAGAGACATGCACACATTGCCCGGCACGTTTCCAAGGCCACTTTCTGCTATTTTAGGAGGTTCGATGCACATTCAGATATTGAGTATTAAAAAGACCAGATAACTCAGCCTCCGTGATCACTTCAAATGCTCGTGAAAGACTGCAACAGCAATCCGTATTGCACCAAAAAAAATAATCCAAGCGCCTATGGGAATACCTTAGGTTCCTCAATCACTGTCATCATCCACCCTAGCCCGTTTTGTTGACCTACCTTCGGGCTCTTGGATGCCGTATCGCTTTTCACCCTTCTTCTCACCCCGAACCTCGTCAATCATCTGATTAATGTTAAAAGGGTCGTCGGTATCCTTCTCGAACTGGACAGGCCCATCTCGAGCTTCTTGTAGATCAGCACCCTTGAAGCCTTCCTTCGCCTTGCCCAGAACTTCAAATTTGCTCGTCTTTGTGAGTCTGTCGTACGTCTGCCCGTCATCCTCTCCGTCGTCTTGTTGTACATTCGGGCGATAGATGCTGCTTATTGCGTCTTGAGCGGCGAAAAGAGGCTTGTCATAATGATTATCCTCGTTGAAACCAGCATTGAATCCACTAGACTGGTTGAATAACCGAGCATCGTACATGGACTCTCCGCTTTGTGTTGGCTTTGCCAGGCCAAGAGCAACCTTCTCTGAGATATCACGGTTCTGTTCGCGAGCAAGCATCTGAATCTTGCGCTCATTGCCCATGCGCGACTGGCGGAGTTCACGCTGCAAATCCTCGCGACGTTCTTTGCGTGCGTCCATTCGCTTCCGCACCTCTTCCTCCTCCGAGTCTGTTTCTGAATCGCTCTGTGATCGCCTTCGGGAGGCGTTCGCACGGTCTTCTCGAGCCTGTTTTGCCAAGTTGCGCAGGTGCTCCTCCTTTTGCAGCTTTTCTTTCTCTGCCAAGCGCTGTTGCATGATGGCGCGCTGCTTGACTTCCTCTCGAGCGTGTCTGTCTGCAGCCTGCAGAGCCTCGCCGAATTGCGCAAACTTATCGTTGATTGTGATGTCCTGGAGACCCCGCCCATCAGCTGCCAGACGTTTATCTAGAGGTACTGTGTAGCCCTTGGGGTTCTTCCAGTTACTAATGGGAGGCGGAATCTTCCACATCTCTTGATCTTCGGCGGTCAGTTTTCGTGGTGGAGAGTGGAGAACGGGCGGCGGGGGAGATGGCGGTCCACGAGGAATACGTTTGTGCTTGAATTTTGGTGGTTCCATAGGATCGATCTGTCGCTGTTGAATCTTGAAGATGCGCGTCTTTCCTTGGGCCTCGCCCATCTGTGCGGTCGGAGTGTATCGCACAAAGGTGGGCTCATCGTCTTTCCTACCCTGTACATTCTTTGGTCGCTGTGCAGCAGTCTGTCCTGCCACCAGGGCCATGAGTGCTTGTTCTGTCTTTTCCTTTGTTGCCTGTACCACTTCCTGGCTCGGACGCGACAAATCCAGCTCGCCGGCATCTGCCCGTTGACGCAGCGGGATCAAGTCTTTGAAGCTCGCCTGTACGATCCTTGAGTCGCCATGCCCGCGCCTCGCAATCTCATCGTATTTGGTCTTGCCCTCGCCGTCGACTCTCCTGACGAGAGCATTGGATGTGGATGGTGTGCCCTTCTTGCCCATATCCAGTGGATACTGCGCGACGTGAACCTCTGGAAACGCGCCTCCATCGCCAAAGTCCTCGGGTGCGCGGGGCCGCCAACTTTGCCTGCTGCCGTATGCGGGTGGGCCATTCTGCCTTCGTGCGACCTGCGCTTCATACTGCTCGGAGCTCAGCACACGCGTGCTGTTGGTGAGTTCCTCCTCCTCACCCGAATATTTCGGCTTGGGCAGCGACTTGGACAGCGTCGCGACAGACATGTTTGATGTTGATGGGGGGACAGAGTTGGGTATCGCGACTGGAGAGATGTGCCTGGGCAGAGGCGATGGCAAGACAAGATTATTTCGTCGGGCTTGTTCTGCCGGGACCGCGTCACGTGATCTGGAGCCTGGCGGGATGGCAGCAGGATGGCGGGAGGCGCCATGGAGATGTGCCTCGAGCCTTCACCGGAGTTCCCACTGGGCCTCCACCCTCGTGCATTCATACGCAGCCAGTGAGCCTGTGCCAAGTATCATGTTTTTTCTGGATTCATGTCCCGGGTACGCGTACGACTACAGTACATACGGACCGAGGGTTTGTTTGGCGTCTGTCTCTTACACCAATGCCAATCTCCTTTTATACACACTACACTACACTACCAGGCTTGCATGAAGCATAAATCCGCAGAAACATCAGTGCCATGTCGGCCGTGCCAGCTCGCTTATGCGCGCTCCGTGGATGGCATCACTGCCCGGGGATAGGGAATGCAGGAACAGGGTCGGTCACGACAGCCAGTCTGCAGCGCTCGCCCAATGCGGCTTCGCTTGTCGCCTCGAGATGGGACGGGACAAAAAGAAAGCAGGCGCTGGAGAAGCAGCGGTGTGTGCTTCGCTCAGGAGGAGGGTAAGATTAGGCGTGAGCAGAAGCTCATTTAAGAGCGAGGGACGGCGAGTCAGCCGGCAGACGGGGTTGCAGACGTGAGCAGCAGCGCGCAATCGCTGGGTCGTAGTGTAGATGGCCGCCCGTCCGGACGTTGAGCACACGGTCCCTCCCGGGCTGGTAACGATGGAGGCGGTGGAAAAGTTTAGTAGTGCTTGGAGGGCGGGTACAGCGGGTGCTATAGGTGATGGAGGGCGGGTATAGCATAGGGCTGGCTGCACATCATTCGCTCTCTTGAGGGGGCAGTGTGCCATGTCGTGTAAAGGCCCGGCCACCCTAGCAGCAAATGGGCCAAGGTCGAGAATACTGGCCATGTGCAGTGCCGCAGCGTCCCAGCATCTTCCTTTGAACAGCAAAGGGAGCATGTGCAATTTACCAAGGCGTACGCGCAGTCTGTGGGCCCCCTTCGTAGCAGCCATGGCAGGCTGAGTGTGCGCGCTGAAACGTTGCCCGTCATCCCTGTCTGGTGTGTGCCAGCGCACCTGGATTCCTGCAGCCATGCCGACCCATTCTCGGAAATCGTCTGGAGGAGCCTTACAACAACAACACCAGCAGCAGCAGAACCAGCACCCGCCGCCGCCCCGTCAACCACAACCACAACCACCACAACACGACCCCTCCCGGCGCAACACGCTGACCGCGCACACGTCGCCCGCCCCCAAGCCCACACGCCAGCGCACAAACACAAACCCCGAGCCCCCGACCCTGCTACGTCTGCCCTCGACCACCTCGACCTCGTCCGCTGCCGCACGTCGGCCCCCGGCCTCCCATAGTGCCCATGGCATAGACAATTCGCGCGGCCCTCCCGTCACCCTAGTTACGCGCAGTCGGTCCTCGCAGAATCCCGCCGATCTCACCTATGCGCACCAGCAGTTCTCTCCCACCGCACTGGCATCGCACACTGGCCCGACCCCGTTGAGCAAGCGACGCGGGGAGGAAGAAACGGCCAACTGGAACGGTCCCCCGCAAAAACAACTCCACCACATACCACAACAAACAGGCACCACGGCGTCTCCAAGCCTTCTGCGCCCGCCCGCCCCTCGACGCAATTCCACCGCCAGCTCCCGGCCTCCGCCTCGACGAATGGCCAGCTCCACCGAGTCGTCCGAATACGGCTCTGGCCCCCGCAGCCGGATGGAGGACTACCATGCGGCGCACAGCGGACGGGGAGCGCCTGCGCCTGTGACTCCAGGCACAGATGGCGAGAAGGAGGACCTGTTCCTAAACATTGCCGCGGATAGTGCGCCCAAGCAGCAACAGCAGCAGCAGCAGCGCCCAGCAGAGACCACGGCGCGGATTGACCGGTTGAAGGTGAGACCACCCAGTCTTCAAGATGTGTTCGGATTGCAGCGACATGCGCGTACCATGGCCGCTCGACTCTGGCCGTTTCCCAGCGTAGCTGAATCATTTGTCCCCCATGCGCCGTCAACACTATGTACAGGAAGCTGACCACCACAGTCTCGAGTCGCCCGCATAAATGAACGACAGTCATACCCATCAGCTCTACAGACACCTTCGCCGTCGCAGTCAAGCTCTGTCACGGCAACCTCGAGTCGTATTCCCTCTGTCGTAGACGCCAGGCCAAGCGGTCTCCGTCGGGGCTCGCTCCTGCCCACTCCCTCGCGCTATGAGCGGTCCCAAAATTCTCCAGCACCTGAATCAGCACACCGGACACCTCAACTATCGCACAAGGTATCTTTGAGTTCAGTACGGAGGGATTCGGATCTCTCACCGCGCGACTTCCTGGCCCAGTTCTCCTCAACAAGGCGCGCATCTCAGCCAGACGTCACACCCCCAAGTCGCACACCCCTCCAGCCATATCGGCCATCGAATCTTTCCCATGAACCACGCACACCTCACATAGAGACATCATTTGAGGCTGCTTCGCGCGCCGACGGTACCGAATCGCATGGCTCTACGGGACCTGCAGCGTCCGTATGGGACGAACTGGATGAACTCAAGTCCCGGATACGCAAGATTGAAATGGGAGGCAAGATACCTTCAACATCGGGCGCAATTGTATCTCAAGCGTCGGCAGATCGCCCACGGACAGCAAATACTTCAGCTACGACTGTGTCTTCATCGCCAAACCAACAGCGAAAGGCGAACCTCTCTCCTTCTGACTCTACAGTCGGCGCTCTTACCCCTAACGGCAGCAGCAATAACAACAAAACCCATCCGCTTTTGAGGGAGGCGCTAGCCAAGGCCCGACAACACATATCACCAGCAGTGTATCGCACGTTGGAAGCAACAGCACAGGAGGCATTAGCACTTGCTGAAATGAGCGGCAGTGCTGGTCCTCAGGGCACGCTTCATTCGGCAAGCACCATCGCCAATGGTGCAGTCGTGTCTGACCGCCAAGTCCGGCGCAAAGCTGACAACCTTTGCCGGAGTTTGACCGAACTGTGCATAGCTCTGTGTGACACCAAGACAGGCTTTGCCAGTCCTGCTTTTCGGTCAAGTACAGCCACGATTTCTCGTCGGCCAAGCGTTCAGTTCAACGGCGAATCACCAACCATACGAGAAAGTATCGAACCCGAGAGCAACACATTGTCTGGTGTTAGTCCCAGCAGAGCAATGTCTCGCATAGAAGCTCGAAGGAGCAGTATGCTTGCCGTTGGAACGGGGGGTAATCAACGGGAAACCAGTCAAGAGCCCTACGATGACAGGCACCTCGCATCACGACTCCAGCGAGCAGGCACAAGTCTTCATCGTGCACGCAAGAGTGCTGAAGAAGATGACGATGACACAATATTATTCCGCGCACCATCTCGTGCAATGACGTCGATTGACTTCCGGTCGCGGCAACAACAAAATGAGAGCAACCGGTACAGCACCGGTCGGCAGATTGGTTCTCGCGAGCCAATGTCTGACCTGCAGCCATCACCTGCTATTCAGACGACATCGCATCTTCGTCGGCCAAGTGTTTCGAGCAGTACACCGTCGAATGAGCACAGTCTCTTGTTCCGTGATCAGAATCGGTTCGGCCACAATCTAGGCCGAGAGGGATCTCCAGCCCATTTCGAGAAGCCCTTATCCGCCGGTCTACGAGCTAGAACGCAATTGAGCGTTGCCCGAAACCCAAGCAACCGACATTCAGTGGGTGGCATAACGGATCTCGGTCGCAATGTAAGCCTTGGTAGAAGGCTGAGAGGATCCAGCACTGGAGAGTGAGTAGACTAGAAGCTCCATAGACTGTTCCAGCACGGAGCGGACGTTGCACGCATGGCATGATTTAGAAACGCGGGTCAGTCAAAAGCTTGATTTTCACACGCGGCAAATGCCTGAGAAGAGTTCTCAGAGTAAGCGGACGCAGCAGTGTTACAAACGTGTTCCTGGAAAGACAGATACGGAATGTTTGTCGTTGATTTCTTTCTTTTTTTTCCTTTGCATTTTCTTTGTTCTTTCCAGCATCTTCAAGGAGCATCTGTGGGGATTGTATAGGCGCCGAAAAGTCGTTATGGCACTTGGCAGCATGAACTATATAGGGGGGTTGGGCTGAGTGCTTGTTATCCAAGAGCCATCGAGGGTTATCATGCGCGGTAGGCGCAGCTGGTCCTCCGTCACCGGCACTCTCTTCACACAGCTGATAACCGTTCGGTGTCTTTTGTTCTCTTTTTGTGTGTGTGTGTGTGCGTGGTTTTTTTCCTTGATAGTCCATATACCACTACGTATTCTCTTGCACTTTTCTTTGCATTTGTAAATAGTATCACCTTTTTCGAGAACTGTTTTACTGTGCTCATCTACGTATGTTCCGTGTGAGTGAAAGTGCGCTTTGGGAGGTAATTTCCCTCTTTCTGAATTCTCTTGTAGGCGATTGGACAGTGATACAGTCAACGTATTCAGGTTGGGCAAGCGCTTTGTCACCTTCTTGTTGCTACATGGAGCGACTGCGCGAATGAGGGCTGTTGTTAAGATGTTGATAACGCATCTGCATATTACAAGGTAACCGCAACCTTGTCTCAACACATGTCTCTCACGATTAATGTGCGGAGCAGGCGTTAGGCGGCTATCACTCGGAACAATGCTCAGTACCTTGGTTCTCACTCTCAGTGCCACAGAGACACGTGCAGTGATATCACTTAATTGTACACGCCGCGCACATAGTCGCTTAACAGCCCGAATCATGATAATCGCTTTACGGATTCTCGCAAATATGATTGGTGTGACGTAATATAGAGACCACTGGGGAGTGGTCTGATTGTACATAGCAACGGCACTCTATGGCTTCCTCAACTATGGATGCCTCTAGAGACTGGGGAATCAGCAAGCTCGCATAACCAAATCTAAATATATTTGGGGGATTGACTCACGCATATTCCCACAATGTAAAAAGGAAAGCGTCAGAGTGATTATCTTTTCCTGGCTTTCTCACTGTTCAATTCTTGCTACTTCAACCGTGAATGCAGCTACGTGTGCTGTGTTGAAATACAGTTTGCTTCCTCCACAACAACGCGCTTGTTCTCGAGCACCGATACAAAGAGCTCCCCTCTCAATCAAGCCTTGCACCTACCTAGACCTCGAATATCGGTTATTTGTTCCTCAGCGCCCAGTCCTCTGTCTCGACAGTAACAAAAACTGTTTCTCAGCCTAGCCACCGCCTGCCACCATTCACTATCGGCGCAAACCCGCCTCAGGGAAAAAGTGTTCTTATGCACTCTAGTGTGTCTCCAGGCAGCACTGGTCGACTTGTCAGGTATCAACAATCACATTCTTCGCACAAAGAGCCATTCCTTACAACGTAACTAGCGCTCCAACCTCTTCCAACGATACGATGGTCGAAGGAACACCTCAGTACGTCATGAATATGCAAGAAGAACAATTCGACAAGCGCGACCCGGCACAGATCACTACACAAGCCGCACCTTCTTCACCAGCATCATTTTCCCCACTGCACGTCTATGCCGAGCCTCAGTCAAATACTCAAAACGCCCGTTCTGACTTGGACACGCCAGCTTTGGGTGTTGACTCGCCCAAGGACACTGAAGCACATACCCAGGCACAACTTCAAACCCACTCGCCACCTGTGACCGGGATTTCTGCCGTTTCAGAACTTGAGGAATTTCTGGAAACAAAGGCGCAGTTACAAGAAGATGCACCTGTTCCTCACACGACTTCGCTCACTTCAACCCCAAGTCAGGACCAGGATGATAAAAACTCCATAGCGCCATCAGCTACTCCCCTTCAAGGTATGCAGAAGTCCTCAGCATCTATATCTACGCCCAAGAGTCCCACGGCCCGTACAACAGCTACTATGACTCGGCCATTTGGTCAGTTGGTTGCCCCTCTTGCAAAGTTCTTTAATCAATCTAGAATAGCAAAGTATACACGCTTCGAGCGCTCAAAAATCTTCAAAAATACACGACACACCATGCACTGTAAGACTTTCACGATGTTCATGCTCGGTTCACGTGGATTCGAGCGCGCTAAATTACTACCCACAAGGCAGACGAGGCCTCCACTGCTGAAGCGGCGGTACACCATCGATGTCAATACTACTGAAGACTGGGGCACCTGCTTCGCAACGTACTGGAAAGAAACAGAGGCCATGGTGCGTATAGTTCATTCACCTGGAAAAGTAGCTAAACAATGTGCTAACATGCAACAGTGTCCGCCTCTTCAGTACAAATCTCTCGACTTGGAACCTCTACCCATTCTTTCCCGCTGGAGTTTTGTTCCCCACCCTGGTCGATATTCCGCATTCTACACAATGTTCCTGTTGAACCCACCATTTGATTCCAACGTGTATCTCAGGCTGGGGGATACCACAATTCAAAATGATGCTTTCTGCCATATCATGAGCACAAGCTGGAATCATGGCGAGCCTTGGATGCGGGACGAAAGTCTAGATATGGCTCTGGAAGTCCTCTATCGAGATTACAATTGTGAAAATCTTGGAATCGCAATAGCCAACTCCATGGTCTCACAAATATGCCTTTTCGCTGCAGAAAGTGAAGATAGCAATCCCCAGGAGTACTCTCAGTATAGAGCTCGCTTCGAGAACAAGTCATGGATTTTTCTTGTTATCAACGATGCAATCGGTGGCGTTGAAAACGATTGTTTGCAAGGAAATCACTGGTCGCTTCTCGCCATCGACAGGATACATTATACAGTCTCGTATTACGATTCTCTATTTCTTGACGTCGACCAACCTCGACACCTTGGTTTTCAAATCGGTCGAGGCATGCTGAAAATCCTTGGAGAAGATGTCAAAAATTGGCAATACCGAATCCAACAGTACACCCCGCATCAGAACTACCACAACCAATTCCGCTATGACGACGGTGCATGTGGACCTTTTGTGTACAAGATGACGGAAGTACTGATCAGGCGCGTCAAAGTTTATCAGTTGCGTGGTGAAGAAGACAAGTGCTTCCTTGAACTGTGTGAAGATTTCCCACTGAATTTCAAAAAACAATTTCACTCATTCCAAGTTCGCCGCGAGATACAAAGGAGGATTGCCCGCTGGAAAGCCATCATGGATGCGTCTCATTTCGCATATAACCATGACCACGAGGCCATACGTGACGATTGGGTTGAACTAGATGACAATCCGGTTATTGAGTTCGAAATACCGCGCCGACAAGAAACACCTGTAGACTGGCCTACCTCCCTGGAAGATCAGAACTATAACATGCTCGAAAGCAGTAGCGATAGCGGCAGTAGCCGAGGAAGCTGCCTGAGCGAGACAACTATAGTCTTGGCGCTGTCGCCTGATCCACAGGAGATTTATGCTGATGGAGATACTAACCATGACCAAGACGAAGACCGGAGCGGTAGCATTTTTGGTCTCGGAATCACTCACGAAGAGTCTACCCCTGGCGGCATACAGAGAACTACAAACTTGCCCACACCATCCGCTACCGAAGGCGATCAAGAAGAGACTGCTGGACTTGTCTGAAGCATCCCACTGGAGAAATGTTTTTTAATACCGCTCAACTGGTTTGAGGAAAATTTATAACGGATGTGCTTTCTTTTCAACTTCGATTGCTTGTGCTGTCTCCTCGCAAAAAAAAAAAGAAATACTACAGATTTTACTGTCGCTGCGTCTTGCAGCATACGAGTTGGGCCTCTCCGGCCTTGCTTTTTGCAAGCTATTTTGTTGTTATGGCTATTGCTGGCTACCTAGTACTAGCGTCCAAACCATCAGATTGAGTAGAAAGGTCACATTTTTACTGGCGGATCACGGCGTTGTACTTAGTTTCGGGATAAAAATACTGTAAAAGACACAGGTGCCCAACATGTGAAAATAGGCAAGGATATTTGATTTCTAAATTACTAGTAGTATTTCGCTCATACCTTGGCTTTAGCTACATGCAACTCCGATCGCCGTCAAGACATGTCTTACAGCTGTGGCGCGCTTCTAGGCCACACAGCCACCCATCGTCCCGCACCCACCCACTTGCCTCCCCTTCAACACCTTCACAACTACCCAACCACATCATCACACATACCCACCGGTATCCAGCGCAAAAACCCAACAAATCACCTAACCGACACAGGCAGGTTGCAGTTGTGTGTGTGAATCAGCAAGTTTCCACGCTGCAGGCGACCGCGGGACGATCATTCGGTGAGGATCAAATCCCTTGGAATCGAGTGGTTCAGATGACGTAGGACGCACCCCCCTTGTCAAAACGCCGCGCATCAACGCCCTCTTTTTCTTGTTCCTATGCAACCGGTTCGTAAAGTTGGAATCAAGGACCCTGGAATGCGTTGTTAGTAGCCACCCCTGTCTGGTGGCCCTCCGGTGCGAGAGAAAGGCCAGGCCGATCGGAGATGAGATCACTGTTGGCGTGGATGGCGTCGTATACACGGCATCGGAGGGAGGGTGGGTGTGTGTGATTGGCTGGGCTAAGGTGGAGGGTAGTATGGTTGGTCTTGAGTATGATGAAGGGTCGCTGCTTGTGTGTAGTATATATTATGGTGTGTGCTTTATTGAACGGAGAGTTTTCCTTCTCTTCCTTTCTAGCTCACTTTTCTGAAGAAATACAACTGATACCCATCCACGATCCATATTACAATACCTTATTCGATATCTATACGATAAACTTCGAGGCATACTCTTTTTATTTCTGTTTTTTGAAACACATCGGCAAGCATATCCAAAAACAAAAATGGCAGACAACAAGCAACAGGCAAAAACCTACAAGCAAGCCGCAAACGACTACTACAACCAAAAATACGAGACTTGGATGCCTTGGATCGAAGACCAGTATCTGAAATGGTTCACAAAAGATAACAAGGCCAGCTACGCTGCCAAACGTACGTTCCCCTTCCCCCTCTCTCTTTCCCCCGTCCATAACCCCCCAACTTTTTCACCGACACAATCCGCTAAGATCACACCTGCTTCAGAAAACCTCGACAAAACAAAGGTAACCGGCGTCTCGCAAGTTGACAATCTCCAAGACGGCGTCAACGGCCTCGTAACGGGCCAAGTAGGCCAAGGCGGCCTCGCACAACCCATCGGCGACGCGCTGTCGAAAGAAGGAATCAATCGTGCTGAGCGTGGTGGCAAGGACGAGCAAGGACGGCCGCTTGAAGGACAAGGCCCGTTAGGCGGGTATGGACAGAGTGCTGTGGAGGGGGTCAAGGGGGGTGCGGGGAGTGTGACTGAGGGTGCGAAGAGTGCGGGGGGTTGGGTTGGAGGGTGGGTTGGTGGAGGAGGCGCGAAGAAATAGATGTGTAGGGGACGAATGTAACGCTGTGACGATTTGATACCTTTGGAGGAAGAGAAAGATAATGCTTTGAGATGTATGTGTTGTGGAGATAGGCGAGTTTGGCTTTGCAACAGTAGCTTTAATTGAACTTTTCTTTTCAGTTTTTGATAAGACGGCTTTTGCGTAGTTGTTGTATTGCCCTGGAGCACAGCTGACTGATGGATGTGTAGTGATCTTTATTAACTTCATCTCGATCAGTGTCTGGAACTGCGATGTTCAATGTTCACTACATCCTACGTACGGTGTTGTACGCATAACATCCACAGGGGTTGCCTTGTTGTCCACACTAGACGATTCATCTAAATCCCTCATGTCGTACATTTACATGCAATGCATCAGGTTCATCTGTTACGTTTTCACATCAATCCCGTCTGAAATAAGGCTTTGAATTGTTACAGTGCTTGTGAAGGACGGTCCTCACAATGGAACTCTATCTCCTCTTACTCAGCACATACGTGCCGTGTCAGCGCTGCTGTGGTAAAGTACCAGTTTGAGAAGATCATTAACCAAAGTATTCGCAAATCTCTCAGTAGTACCAAAAAAAAACTGGTTACTTGAGGGTTGGCACTGCTACTTAGAGCGAGGTGATGGAGGTTGTGCAAGTTCAAGTGCTGTGTTGCTTCAGGTCTAGGAACGGCGCACCCGACCATGTGATCATAGTAAAAGTAAGCTTTAAGATCAAAGCGCAGTTCCCATCGATAGGGTTCCTGATTCCAAAAAATCCCTAGTAAGAGCAAGTGCCGCTAGGGGCGATGACGAAATCAGGACCGGGCGCATTCCGAGCGGAACGAAGCAAACGCGCTAATCACATTGCTTGGCGGCGGTCGTCGCGACTTTGGGGTCAATTCCATTCTCCGCTTCAGTCGCGACGACACTAATTGAACGACTACCATCAGCGTCATTAACCCCGCTTTATCTTCTTGGAGCTGCGCGCATGCTCCAACAGAGAGATATTATTGCGCCTACACAGTAAAAAGAAATCATCTGCAAAACCATGGCCTCACCACCGCACATCCCTCAGCTCAACATGTCCAGCAACCGCAAGCGTGGCAGCATATCTTCACACTCGGGCGCACCAGCAAAGAAGCGCAAGCCGTCGAATCTACGCAATGCCTTCTCTCCCGATGCCGAATCCATCGGCGGTTCGCCACGCCAATACTCGCGTTCACCATCGGTAGAAAGCAACATCACAACTTCAGTTATCAATGGTGTTGGCGGAAGCAAGAAGCGCCGCAAGAAGGGTGGTGATGGTGGAAGTGTCGCTGGTTCGAGTGTAAGAGGAGGCAAAAGTGGTGATGGAAGGAGTGCAGTCGGAGGCGAAGATGAAGGAGAAGAAGACGACGATGAAGACGAGATGGGCGAGGAAATGGGCATGGAGATTGAAGGCGGAATGAGCGTCGAAGCCCGACGCAAACAAGAAAAAGAATACGAACGGTACGGTTCTCTGGTTCCCAGAAAAGCCACACATACAGCAATCTCGATCCTTGACTAACACGACGACACTCCAGAATGCTAGAAGACTTCATGACGCCCGCGCAAATGGACCGCTACGCAACCTACCGCCGCATCCGCCTCAAGCGCGAAACCGTCCGCAAACTCGTCAACCAAACCCTCTCGCAATCCGTGCCTCAACCCATCATCATCGCCGTAACTTCTTACTCCAAAACCTTTATCGGCGAGCTCATCGACCGCGCCCTCACCGTCCGCGACGAATGGTCCGCCGTACGCACTCACTTGCCCAACCCCGACTTGCCCGGCCCCATCTTAAACCAGAGTCTAGGCCGGCCAAGCGCACACATCAAGGACGAGCGGAATAAGCCGACAAATACGGATATCCAGAGTGCAGGGTGGTACATGAACCAGGTTGACCGCACACAGAGTATATGGAAGGAGGTGGATAAGAATGCTAGTTTGCAGGAGAGATTGCGGGCTTGTGATAAGGGTCCGTTGACGCCTGGGCACTTGAGAGAGGCGCTCCGGCGGTACAAGAGGGATAGGGATGGTGGTGGTGCGGGCTTTGCGGGTATGAGTCTGGAAGGCGTGGAGAGGACAATGGGTAGGACGGGCGGGAAGAGACTCTTCAAGTGAAAGCTACAAAAGGAAGAGTCTTTTGTTACGTGCATAGCGATGGCGTTTTTTTTTGGGAGGGGGGGATACATCGTTAGATATATGTGGCGTTCGTATCACAAATGTACATCATGTTAGCAACACAGATTTATTGCTAGCCACAACAACTATCAGAACAAGAACATTTTTGCATACAAGATTTGGATTTTGCAATGCGTGAGCTACCCCGCAGGAAAATTAAACATGGACAAAACACAACGCCAGACTGCTCCAAGGGACGTGAACGGCAAGACAAACCACAGGCATTCAGGCATATTGAGTCATCACAGTCTCAAAGAGTTGCATAAAGACATTATTCAGCCAAACATGGAAGCAACCTTTTCATGAGGTATTTTGTGAAGAGCTACATTTGTCATAGCCATTCATCATTCCAGTCCATCCCAGCCGAAGAGAGAACACCTTAGGAAATCATAACGCTAACCAACAACCATCTAGTTATCCTGGAGCAGCTCGTAGAAGGTATCGGCGGCAGGCTCGGGCTTGCCAGCCTCGATCTTCTTCTGGCCAAGCTTCTCCTTGGAGAAGGTAGCAGCGTAGGGGTTGAGGCGGAGCTGCACCTGGAAGTTCTTGAGAGGGTTCTTCTTCTGGGTGTGGCTGCGCTTGGTCACGGCTCCGCCACGGACGGGGCGGAGGACCTTCTGAATGTCGCTGGAGTTGATGATCTTGCTGAGGTCGGGCTGGACCATCATGGGAGATGGGAGAAGGAAGTCCTTCTTGAGTGCTGAGGGCTCAGTGGTGGATCCGTAGACCTTGTCGAGGGCGCTGAAAGCGGAAGAGGTCCAGACGATGAAGCGGCCAAGGTGACCACCGGGGGCGAGCTGGAGGAGGTTCAGGGAGTAGACGGATGAGGTCTCGACACCTGGGATGTTGCGGAAAGCAAGGACGAGCTCCTTGCCATCCTCATCAGGGTTGTAGATGACAAGAGGTCCACGGCGCTGCTTGTGGCGGCGACCACGGAGCTTACCCTTACCAGCGCGGAGCTTGCGCGAGTTGCGGGCCTTCTCAACATCAGCACCGGCACCGACGGCCTTGAGGAGAGCGACGGCAGCGGAGGTCTTCTTGATGGCGGCATCCGCGAAAGCAGTCGATGAGACAACGAGAGGAACCTCGGGGACGGTGCTGATAGCGTGGCCACGGGCAAGGAGAAGAGCAGGGCTTCCTGAAGCAGCGAGGGCAGAGGCGGTAGCGAAGCGCTTCTGGTTCAGGTTGATCTTCTGGTGCCACTTGCGCCAGACCTTGGTAGGAGCAAACATGCGGCCAGAGCGGCACATGTTACCGAAAGCAGCCTGACCAGCACGGTGAGTACCACCACCAGAGACACGGGGGATACGGGCAACAGCGCGACCAGTACCCCAGGACTCCGCAGAGGTTTGGTGACCAGCCTTCTCAGAGCTGCGTGTTGTTAGATCAGTCAACGGTGCAGCTTGCGAGGAAGGCTTACACAGCGTAGGGCTGGCGGCGGTTCTTGTTCATGCCAGTGTGCACCGCGTGGACGACATCCGGGCGGATTGGGGCCTAATGATGGGTCAGAATCAAATATATGAATAAAGTGCACGACACTGTATGCTCCCAATGCAACACCAGAACAGACCGAGAGAGCGCCATATCGATTGCGGAACCCAGAAGTTTTCGTCATGGCGCCGCAAGCACCACATGAATGATCCAGCTCAATACACGCATGGGATTTCCAGCCGAGTATCCAATCTTGAAAATCCCCCATTTATACGCATTCACTGTAGCTTCTCTCTCAATCTGTCCGTCGGGTTGCTGGTTGCATCGTATCGCGGATTTCGAAGTGCGACGGTGGAACTGACCTTGAAGACATTGGGGACGGGGATGGTGTCCTGGGTGACCTCGCCCTTGGCAGAGACGACGGTGACGGTTGGCCTCGACATGGTGGCTGTTAGGAATTGACCTGGGTGGTTAGTTGTCGCGAAAAGAGAAGTCGTCGTCGGATTTTTGCGATGTTCTGAAGCGAGCGAATTTCGAGTGGGCGCGCTATGCCACATCGGGACTTGGCGGGTTTTGGGTGGTTAGCGCTGCACTCATGTTCACCTGCGTTCACCGGAGGCGAGACTGAACATCTCATGTGACGGGAGTGGTGATTTCGCAGGATTGTCTGCATAATCTTGTAATTATCCTGAGACGATGTACTATGGACGTGTATGCGCAGAGCTATCTAATCTTAGTCTGCTGTAGCAGAACAGATCTGCGCAAGCAGCTGGACCTGACTACATGCGACAGGTGTCCTGATATGTAGGCAGTAGACAAGGTAAAGAGGTCTCGATCATGGCGCCCTGGACCATTCTAGTCCCCCAAGATTTTCAGACACGTCTTGGGTTCAGAATAACCGTCCTGCCCTTGCCAGGTACTCTATGCATCTTCCTTAAAGTGGGCGAATTAAGCCATGCAAATTTGTAGGGATAGACCCAACCGTGCCTCTCGCAGCTCTTATTGCCATGACGACAGTCGGGACAAGATGCATATCCTTGCAGGTAAGTAACGTGTACAATACTTTACACAGTGCTTATAGCAGCACTTGCCAGGGGGGCAGGAAATGATTCGATAGTGTCTTGAATAGTCGCTGCCCTTTGCTCGGTCTTTGACCATAGCGCAAAAAACAAAATAAAGCGTATGTAAGTACCTAGCGACGGTGACCTAGGGAACCATGCAGAGCCACTAATAATAGCGTGTTGTGTGGTATTAAAACACGTGTTTGGCAGGCGGACCGTTAGTTGCTTGATGGGGGGAGGTGAAGGATGTCATGCTGACTGTAGTTTCAATCCCTACCAGATAAAACTTGTCACCAACTAATGTTCGAGAAGCGTGTTCATAGTAAAGTATAATAATGATATAGAAAGGGGGCCGGCTGGGAGTGGCCTGGTCGGTTAGTGGCTTGACGGGATATGTGTACGGAAGATGCGAGAGAGAGTGAAGACTTTGGATGAGCCGGGTGGATTGAAGGAAAAGCGAATATCGAATGAGCACGTGCCCTTTTGTGAGGCAAGTCGATGGATCGCCACAGGGGTGCACGAATCGCATTCGCGTTGGCAACTGAAACACACGTGGTGCAGCAGGACGGGATGGGGTTCAGGGAGCAGCGGAGGATGGGCGGGCTCGGGTCCGTGTTTGTGGGAGGGCCAGAGAAAAAAAAAGCGAGATGCGGGCGTGGGCAAAGGACGTGAGTGTAGGCAAGCAGGCAGCGTGGTGAAGAAGCTGGCAAACTGGTCGTGATTGAGTTTGGGCGCTGGCAGGTTGTCTGGCTTCCGAAACCAAAGGGATGCAGGTGAAACCAGCAGTCGCGCTCACATGACCCAGAGGCAAATGACGCGGTGCGCTGCCGGCCTCTCCCTCTCACCCCGCCAACAGGTGGGTCGACGGCTTTCCCATGTTGCGTTTCACGTCAGAGGGGTCTGGTCCGACTGTTTTGCGTGCCTGGGTGCGGTGAGGCAAGGCGAAGGCGACGGCGACGGCGAGCGCTTCAAGTCGATGGCAGGCGAGGACAGAGTGCTGTCGGCGGTGGCTGCAGCGGCGACAGGACGGCACAGGCCTTGCAGCCTCGTTCCGAGGGTTGTCGTCTGGGCCTGCCCGCCGCTGGAGATGGGGGAGGGTTCCAGGGGGAGATGGTGGGCGATGTCGTCCCAGCTGGGCAGGCTGGCCGGGGGTTCGCCAGCGGCCAGCCGTGCGGCCAGCCAATGGCAGCCCGCTCGAGGCTCAGGGCCGGTGGCTGAGGGCGCGAGGGCAGGGCGAGGAGCGAGGGCAGAGGCCAGCGCCAGTGCCAGTGCCGGTGGGCGTGAACAAGTTCGCACCGCCCAAACTGCTCGGCGGGCGCGGTCGACGGTGGGCGGTCGGCGGTGGACGGTGGACGGTGGACGGTGGACAGGAGCGCGAGGACGCGGCCGTGGCCCAGTAAGGCGGCGTTGGCTGCGTGGGAGGCGGGCAGGTTATGGCGTGCTAGTGGTCGCAGCTGCCTCGTAGCGCACGGCTGGCGGTTGCTATTTTGGACGTCGGCGCTTGCACTTGCACTTGCACACAGCAGCCACGCCTAGCGTCCCTGCCCTGGCTCCTCTCTCCCCCATGGACAATGAGCGACGCATTCACGCCGCCTCAACACTCGACCATCGCCTGCCCGCCTGCCCGCCTCCCCACGATCCCCCCTCTCCCCCCAACCACCAGGCGGCAGCGGCTCTGCCACGACCGGCTTCCATCGTCCCCTCCCAAGCTGGTCACCACACGCTGCACAAGTCTCCGCATCTGAGCCCGTCGCTCGTCCTCTGTGCCTGTGTGTCGCAGCGTACGATTCGTCGCCCTCTCGCAAACACCACCCACGCCCTCCTCGACGACCCGTACCGGCGCCGCCAGTCGACTTTTTCTGCCTCTCCGCGCCGCTTTCTCTCAGGCATAGGCGCATCGCCGGCCCAGTCGCTCCTTCCCTCAGGCGCTTAGTCGAGGATCTGGTATTCTCGCTCCCATTCACCACCGCCACTGCCACCACTGCCGTCGCCGCTGGCTACCAGGTAAGCTGCCTCTTCTCTTGTCCCCGTCACCCCTGCACCCTACGCCCTCGCTCCCACCCCCCTGTCTCCCCCTCTCTGGGCCTGTCTCGACCACTATGCGTGTCTGAGCCCGGCATTGTGTACCTACGGGCAACCGTCACCTGCCGACTACTGCCTGCTGCTTGCTCGACTATACCCATCCTCTCTTGCGCACACTCGAGCCTGTCTCAAACCCGGACACGCCGTCTCCAACCCACACCTCCATCTCCCTTTCCCCCATTGCGTACTTCACGTTTCGAAACACATGCGCTTGTCATACCTGCCCTACCCACAACACCACATGGCGCTGACAATACGGCTATGAAAAGGCCTTTCTCTACACCTAATTCTTCTTTCCCTTCCAACTCTCTTGAGCAGTCCCTTGCGACCTGCTCCAAAGTACCCTCCATCTTACCTTCAGCTCCTCGTTGGCCTCGACGCGCGTGCTGCCCGCCTCCCACAACCCAGACGACACTTCCAAGATCCACTATGGTGCAGACTAGCTCGCGATCGTTTATGCCCATGCCCTCGTTCGGCGCTGTATTCGGGGGAGAACACCACAACAAGGGCCATGCAGACGGGAATGGCGTTAATCTAGTGCGCCCAGCAACAAGTCCCACCACATCCTCAAGCGCGCCATTCTCCTCGTTTCACATTCACACCGAAAGCCGCGAAAGCAACTCGACGACCTCGTCCGACAACTCGCCCACCACTACCATCTCAACCATGGATTCGTCATCTGTGACCGACCCATCTCCGGGCGTGTCGCCCGAGTCGCCTCTTGGAAGAACGCTCGCCCCTTCATCATGTGTCGCTGATTTCAGGTCAAGAAGGACAGAACAGCCGCCTGGAGACTCAAGTACATTTTTCGAGCTACAGCGCCCAACGACGCCTGCGAAGAAGCCGCGGAATCTTAAAAACCTCGGCATCAACACGGCCTCTTCTCTGAGCAACCTGCGAGCGCACACCCCGGCACCTGTTGCGGTTGCACCAAAGGAAAAGAATAGTTCGGCGCCTCCATCACCGCTGTTCATCAAACCGCCGACACCACCCAAGCGAAGACCATCGAATCTGAGCCTGACGATATCGACACCCGGCAGCACAGACAACAAGCCAGTACGACTCCTCATACCTTCAACGCCATCCTTCAACCGCCCACCTCTTCGTCATTTCCAGTCATCCCCTTCCTTGCCGTTGTGTTCACCAAGTGTAAACCCGTTCGGTGGTATGCAGTTACCCCCACGTCCTGTTGTGAACAAACCAACTGGTCTTGCCGAAGTCCCCTTTGAAATGGAAGAGGAGGAGGACCAAGAGCCAAACTTTGACGTTCCCCAATCACGCGAGGAAAAGCCAGCAGCATACCCCAACGGTCCCATTTGCATATACGAGGCTGGTGTATACCTCTACTTTGAGCCCACAGCCGTACAGGCCACGACTTTCGATGTTATTATCAATGTTGCAAGTGAAGTCAAAAATCCTTTCACCGCACCGTCGGGAGAATTGCAAAAGGATATCGATGCCAGACGTGTGGATGGCCCACCAGCGGAGAACATTGACTTTGCCACCCTTTCGCAGAGGCCAAAGCAATCCTTTGGCATGGGCGATAGCTCTCCAACGACACCCAAAGCCACGGCGCCAGTGATGCAGACGATACAACCACGAGAGGTTGTCATTGAGGGCAAGACATACAAAACTCCAGAGTACATCCATATGCCATGGGAGCATAACACCGATATCGTGCCTGACCTCCACAAGCTCGTGAAAATGATTGACGAGCGTGTACAGCAAGGGAAACGCGTACTCATTCATTGTCAGTGTGGTGTTAGTCGTTCTGCAAGTCTAATTGTCGCCTATGGTTTGTACAAAGATCCTCAAATGAGCGTGCAAGAAGCATACGACAAGGCCAAGAAGCGAAGCAAGTGGATCGGACCCAACATGAACCTCATCATGCAGCTCCAAGAATTCCGCAACAGCTTGCTGAGGCAGAACGAGAGCCGCTCGTATCACAACCAAGGCTATGGTCGACGATCTGCTGGTCTTCCTTCAGGATCGAACAAGTACTCTTCGTACGATCGAGATGGGGGATCAGGATCACGTACTCCACGCACGGCACCGCTTCCTCCTGACAGCGACATGACTATGCAACGTGCTAGCACTGGAAACATGATCGCAATTTCTCCAGGCCCATTGTCTGCGCCCACTGGTGCTTTCTCGCCCGGTTTCCGCAGGTCATGGGATTCTAGCCCATTGCATTTCGAGCTCACATCCCAGCCGGCCCAGGCCACCACACCATACGTCGATCCCAAGGGCCAAGTCGTTCCTATGGTCTCGGTGACTAGCAATGATGTGCCCACTATACATACTGAAGATATCTCCAGCGGCGAAGCAACACCACAGTCACCAGACAATGTCCAACCCCCTTCATTCCCCAACTTTTCCCGTCAACTTCGATTACGACCCAACCTTGGCATCGACGAGGGCGCCTCATCTAGGACCGAAGAGAGGCTCTTGGCTCCTATGCAACCATCTAGCTTTGAACCCTTGAGGTCCCCTGCTGTCGCAAGTTTCAACATACCTACTTTCCCATCCTATGATACAGCGGACTCTGGGATCATGTCTCCAATCAAAACATCATTTGACAACTCTTGGCCAGCAGGCTACGACCTGGATAACGAGGAACCTGATTCTGCTCCACAGGTGATGGATGGCGTAACCCCGGGAATCTCACCACGCAGCTCCAAACTTGACATGTCTAAAGCTATGCAGGACGACGCCAATGAATCTTACGGTACTTCATTCCATCTTGGTCAACCGGCACCTTCCCGGGGCCGCTACGATAATGATGACACAAAATCGGCAGAAATCGCTTCGCCAGTGAAGACTCAATTCTCGGATGATATCTTTGCCAGCACTGACGATCGTTTGGAGGAAGACCTAAAATCACCACGTGCTACCGAATTCCACATGACTCCATTGAAACCCAGGTTAGGAGACGAGGATCCCTTTGGCTTGACTTCACCGACTAGAGCGGATTTCAATCCTTTCGATAGGCCGAGCAGTATCGCCACTATCAAAGCCCTCGAATCGGAAGATCGGAGACCCTCATTCCAGGCCATCTTACCGCCTGCCCATCAAACTTTTAATGGCTTCGCATCCCTGGATGGTACAGCACAGACAAATCCTATTTTCGAATCTCCAGTTCCGCTGAACATGTCTGCATCGAAGCAATTCCAGTTGGCCGGACCTCGAGTAGACAGTCATAGCAATTCCCCAGCGAAACAAGTTCTCAACCGCGGCGGTGCGCATACAACGGCCCCATTTGCGCTTCCTAAAGCACCAGCCACCCCTCGGACCCCGACCGAAACCTTCCTCTCTACTCCCGGAAAGGCCATTCGAACAAGGTTTTCATCTCCAAACATGAACGAGCAACGGAAATTGCAGAAGCTGCAAACCGAGATCCAATCGAAACTGCCAAGGGCAGCAGTTCCTCGTCATGCTGCAGACGACATTGACGCTCTCATGTCACCCCGTGCAGAAGAATTCACTAGGAACCCTTTCCGCTTTGAACTGCAGAGCCCTGGTGAAGACGCAAGCCCCGTTTCATCAAACGGGACGATCAAAGATGGCCGAAACGGCCATACTGCATGGGAGGACCCGATGCCGCGGCATTGGACGCCTGAGAAGGCTACTGCTGATCCTCGAAGTCCCGTACAAACCGGAGTCAGCCCGATTGTCCGCAACATTTGGGATGTACTATGAGGAAAAGCGGAGCCACGTCAAGAGCCTAAACCCGGGTCCACAAAGGGAAACCCCAGTTCCATGACTCGCTACGGATATTCGGGAAGTATCCCGATACCAAGGTTCAGTTACCCCCGACCGCCAGGCCAGAAACTACCCAGTTTCTCGTAGAGGAATTCTCCGTCTCTCGGAAACTGCGACGCCACCAACACTGAGCGTTTGAATTTTGGATGGTCTCAAATCGCATCAGCTCGTCTTGCATCTTGACAACGTTTGTAAGACGTATTGTTTGGATCAGCGGCCCCAACAAGTACCATCAAGACAGTACCGACCTCTTTCCTCTTTTGCGGTCAGCTTTTCTTTGTGTCAAGACTCTGTTTCTCTTTACAAGCCCGTCTTTCCAAACGGCTTCAACTATTTTGCCTTGTGGAGGACTAATGCGCGTTGAGTTACGCAAAAAAAGTGTAATGTCCTAGTTTCTAGTGCCTAGTTCCGCCAACCCTCCACGGCTTTCCACTCGTTTTTGTCAAGGCATCCCCCTCTATCTCTCTCTTTATCTCTCTTGTTCAAACCAGCCATCATCACTACACTCTCGCTGCTTTGTATACCTACGTCATACCTTTTCTCCTTTTGTTTCCCTTATTGGTTTGATCCCCCTCAGTATCGATGTTACGAGCCATGCAAAGCGCTGCACCTATCCAGCGGAAAGTACATACCCCCCAATTGTTTTGGGGTTGTATCCTTGGTTGTTTTTCCTTTTGTGTTTTTCTCCTTTCTTCTTTCCTATCACTGTTTTGATCTGCTTGGCACCCTCATCAGCCAGCAGTAGGCGTTTTTTTTTCTTTGGTCCTTTTTGGGAGAAATTCTCGCGGGTTAAGGAAGGGTTTTCTTTAGGAAGATGGAAGTAAAGGGAAAGGCTCGATCTGGGAAAAGATTCAATCGGGTTAGTTAAGTGTGTCTGTGTGTATCTGGATAACTTTAGGGGTTTTTTTTCTTTTGAAATTTCCTCTTTTTGCCTACTTATTACCCCCTCGTCCTCTTTCTCTCGCTGTGCTCTATGGATCTATATCTATACCCAGGCGGGGTCAAGGTAATACTACCCAACTTTTCTTTGTTTTCTTCTTCTTTTGTGAGAAGGGGAAAGGGAAGGTACAACTGTAAGGGGCTGTATACATGAATGGAAACTACATATACATTTACATATACATGAGTTGCACGTGAACTGGATGATTACGTGATTGTGGATTACACATGTCGTATGTACTTGGTAAGTAGGTACTTACTAACCAATATCATATCTTGGCATGCTCGGTTTCTAACTACCTTTTTTTTTAGTCAGCTAAATATATTGTTCTTTGCTACTGCGCAATTTGAACGTCAAGCTGAAGACAACAAACGACACGTGAGGTCAGCAGTTGATTTTTTTTTCGTTTCTTAGTCACTTTGATGTCAAGAATATGGGATGGTTTATGGTTGAAAAAGCGTGATGACAATTCTACTCTGGCAAAACTACGTATGTTGGAGTTCCCCTTTGCGTCGTCGCAAGACTACAAGGTGTAAAAAGATGGGATGAAAGAAGGAAGAAAAGAATTTGGTCGTAATAATAGTTTATATAATAGGTTTGTAAATGCCCCCGAACAAAAAAAAGAAGACACAGAAACGTGCAGAAACGACAGGTGATTTCGTTGGACTCGTGCACGTACATGAGCCTCTTATAAAGCGAGAGTGTAGACATGATGCCATGTCCCGCGCACTCCCTTACCCGGTATTTGAAAAAAGAAAAAAGCGAGTGTGAGAAAGAGAAACTCGCATCTATAAAGGAGAAAAGAAAGTCAAACTAGTTGACTTTCTTCGGCCGCATCGAGCAACCGGCAATCGGTTGAAGAAGAAGAAGAAGAAGAGAAAAAAAGCATTGGAGCGAAGGTGGGGAAATAAGACAGGAATCGAAAAAAAAGCAAAAAAAAAGGACGACGCACAAGAACATACACCTTGGGGTAAGGGAGGCGGGGGAGGTTGGAGAGAGACTGGGACCCAACGCAGCACTTGCGTGGTGTCGTCAACAAAAAAAGAAAGTACACACACTGTGAGTTGCTTTAGAAAACAACTCGACCCAACCTTGAAAACGCCAGAAAAAAAACAATAACCAATAAATGCAAAGAACCCGGTAAATGTTATACCCGGGTTTGTGAGGGGGGGTATCCTGGGGCAAATGAATTGCCCATGTAAATGTTAATGAGGTAAAAATCATTCCTCACTCATTGACATGCCTAGTAGACATATGTCGCAGTCCTTCCCAAAGAAGGCTTAGTAGAGTATCCTTTGTCAGGCTCGCCGGATCTGGGAGCCCATCTGACATCTTCTGGGCCATATCGGCGACTAAACTGCACATCGTTGGGGTCGAAGCTAGGCTCGCGTCCAATCTCACCGTAGAGCTTAGGTCTTCCAGAACGTCCGCGATCCTCGGAACCACGAACGGGCGACACTGTACGGTACGACTCGTTGCGGCTCGGCATGGATGGGCGCGGCGCGGTCTTGTAGGAAGTGGTGGGCTCTACCGGCCGGTTAGCGCCAATCGGGGGTTTGCCGATTGGCGATGGCGATGGCGACCGTTGGTAGCGGGATGGTTCGCGCGGTACGTGACGAGCGGCGGTTGGAATTTCATCCGGACGGACAGATACACCACCTCCACTAACCGGGTAATAATAAACCTTCTTAGTGCTGCTAGGCGTAGTCTGCTGTACCGGTGGGATGGTGGAGAAGGCGTCTCTTTCGGGATTGGCATATTGCTCAGAAGCGGTGGCTTCGCGTAGACCAGAAGATCGAGGCGCAGTCGACTCCTTTCTGCGCGAGGACGATGGGTGGATAGGCATCGTCGACGAGCGGTGGAAGGCTGGTGGTGCCGGGGGTGGCGAGGTCTCGGTACGTCGCGGCAGCCGTTCGGTGTAGGAACGCTGGGGGATTCCACGTCCAAGCTCAATGGGCGACGATGTCGAGTGCTTGAACATGGGAGGACGCCTCTCTTCAGTGCGCCTCTCCTCAGCCCAATCCACGACCTCAGGAATACCGCGATCAGTTCGATCGGTTTCGCGACGCGACATTGAAGGGCGGTCCTTGCTAGGCCTGGCGGAAGACCTACGCACGGGAGCCTCAGCGCGAGAAGACTCGCGGCGGGAAGAGCGGGGTTCGGCGGCATAGTAATCGCGCGAGGATGCTCTAGCAGGCATAGGGCGAGATGACGTTATCTCCTCTTCAACCTGCGCACGCGACTTGTGCTGGTAGCGAAGTGCCTCCTCGGCCTGTACGCTCATCTTGCGGTGAGTGGGCAGAGTAGTATGGCGTGCCTCTTCGTAGGATCGGCGCTCTTCAGCAGCCTTGCGACGAGCTTCTTCTTCCGTGCGAATCTTGTATCCCGACTCGTGGCGCGCCTTCTCGTCGGCCGATGATTCACTCTCAGCAGATGCAAACTTGCGGTCGCTGCGGACCTCCTTGGCACGTGCCTTTTCACGTTCTGATCGACCGCGGTCTTCCTTGGCATATCTGCTGCTTTTTGAAGACTCTTTTTCGCGGCTGGATCGGGGTGGCGCAGTCGGCTTGGATGTGTAAGTTTGGTGGTGGGAGCGTTCACGCTCACGCTCACGCTCGCGTTCTTGATAACGGCTGGCATCGTCACGCGACGATGGAGGTGCGCGGTACTCGGTGGCGTATCGCGCGGGACCATTTGCGGTAAAGGAGGAACCACCAGGTGTTGGGACGTCGAAGCGCGCCGTCCTGTCACGTGGCGCAGCGGCTTGTCTTGCGGCCTTTTCCTTGCGCAGCTTGTCAAGCTCGAGGACTGCGTGGTAGTGGGCCCGTTTTTCGTCGTCGATGAGACATTCGTAGGCTTGCTGGATGCGGTGAAACTCCTCCTGCTTCTGCTCTTTCAATGCGGGATCGGTGACTTTGTCGGGATGGCACTTGAGTACCAGTTTGCGGTATGTGGACTTGATGATGGCGGCGGTGGCACTCCTGTCGAGGCCGAGGGCCTTGTAGTGGTCGGGCGTGGGATCCAAGTCCATGGTGTTTGTGTGAATGTGAATGGGAGGCGGGGGGGTTGGAGGGGGAAGTAGTGCTAATCGATTGCGCGGTGGGGCTTCGCGTATACTTTATAGAGAGCCCGTCGAGGCGGCCGGGCGACTGTTGGGCTGGCACAGGCACAGGGAAAAAGTCAATGCAGCCAATGCCTGTGGCGGAGCTGGGATGGATGGGATGGACGGCGTGGCTGGTATGTATACGCAGACAGGCAGCGCCACAATTTAGGGGAGAGGTAGCGAGAGAGAGGCCCGGTAGGCGCTTGGTGGCAAAGGGCTTTAAGGAGAGTCGGGTATGTGGTGCGTGGTGCGTGGTGCTTGGGTGGTGAGAGCGGAAGACGGACAGCGGACGGCGAACGTGTCTGGGCAAGGGGGGATGACGAGGATGGCTGGGCCGGGTTACTTTCGCTGACCTAAGGAAGAGTGGACCGAGCCGCGAACACAGACTCTCGCATCGAAGACGGCAGAAGGTCGTAGTGATGGCGAAAAAAAAGCGGATTAAACAAGCCTGACAAAGAAAGTGTGTGGTGCTTAGGACGCCAGTAGTGAGGCTGTGTTGTCTTGTTTTCTTTTACTTTTTCCTCTTTTGCGGCGCAACAATGCTCTCGACTAGCTGCCTCGTGGTTGCCCGGCAGCGCTGCTCTACAGGTGCGGAATTGCGGTGTGGATGCTGCGACGTCACCGTTTCAGCGACGCCAATATGCTACTATGCCAATAAAATGCGGCGGGCAATGGTTGGCATCGATCGCACGCCGTCGTGGGTGATGATGGCGAAGGAGAGGAGAGGCAGCAAAAAACAGGGCAGTCGAGGGAGGATGCGGACAGACGGACAGCAGTATGGTCAAATCAGTCAGCCAGCCCGCACGCAGCTGGGGCGTTGCGGTTTACTATAACGCTGCGCCAGGATGGATGAGTAGGCCGGCTCTAGGAGCCCCCCTGGCGATGCTGCGGCTGGTCTGTATTGCCTCGCGCAAGCATGACTGGCTTGCCCAACTTCGCGCGGGTGGTAGTGGTCCTCTACTCAGGGCTGAAGGCTGTCACGGCACCGCGTGCTTTCGGCTTCCGTCCGCCTTCTCCTACACCTAGACCAGGCCCTTCCGTGGGGCCATGCCATCGCATCGCGCAAGCCGCCGCCGCCGCTTCACATGAGCATGCTGCACGTCGCATCCGTCACGGCGCCTACGAAACACCCAGTCCAATCACGCCCCCCAGCGGCCACATGGTCGTTTGAGACTTGGGGCTCCATTGCATCTGATAGGACTCTCCCCCTCAGCCGGCATGACTTGCGAGGCCCAGCAAGTGAGCCAGAACGGTCAGCATCCCCGCTGAAGACACTTTGCAACACACAGCGAATCCACGCCGCCGTCCTGGCCACAGATGGACCACACTGCAACCGAAGGCACACGGCCGGCTCCCCGTCACGCCCAACACCCAACCAGACCTGTCTTCGGCCTGACCAGCCCTCTGAGACAACCTGATGCCGAACTCTCAACCAGCCGTCACCGGGTCTTGGTGGCCCTACTGTGTAGGGGGGGGGCACCATGGCATGACTGCGCATCCTCCGCACCGCAGCTGGCTCATGGAGGGCCCCCCCCCCCCCCCCGGTGGGCCGTCAAAACTCGGGTCAGGGCACGGCGCTTGCGTCGCCAGGCTGACGATTTTTTGTCCCATGTGAGATTTGTTCCCACTCGATCCGTCCCGAATTGGCACATGTTAGGCCCTGGCGTGGTTGGACGATAAGATACGCCTATGCGGGGTGAGGCGGGGCTCTTCTGCGTGTCACGCCCAATAATGACATATCCTACCCACGGGCTCCTGGCGAAGCAGGTCCCTCTACGTGGTCCTCCACTATTGCGCAGCACAACTGACGACGAACATGTCTTGTGCACACAAGAGAACAGGTGCTGGTCACCAAGCATGATATCATGTCCGACAGGTACGCTGCACTGCACATGTCATCCCACATCAGCCACCTCATTCACTCCTCATCCTCACCCCTCCATACGGGCATTTGAATGTCGACTACCATCGGCTTATGGTGCCCGGTAGGTTTTCCAGCAATCCTTGGGCCCAGGTATGCTGCGTTGACCACTGTCGTCGTCTCAATACGCGCCGTCTCTGCATCTCCAAAAGCCCGACCCGTCCTGCATCCATTGTTGAGACATGCATGTCTTGCATTCCTCAAATTTTTACTATGGTTCTCTCCTCTCCACCACGCCTCATTATTCTCAAGGGCAATACCAGTGAGGCTTGACGTCGGGACAAGGTTCCCATCACCGGATGGGGGCTGACGCCATGTAACATCCGGCGCAGGAGATGCATCAGCCTGGCTTCTCATAGTACCATCTTGCATCGAGTCAGGCATGCTTTGACGTGGCAGCCCTGTATCGCAGCCCAAGTCGCGCCCTGCTATTGACTTGATGGTCAAGTCAACTAAGGACATTTTGTTGCTAGTTCTCCCTGGATCGCTCCAGAATTCTACGCTTTGCACTAGGCTACCACTATCGCTCTGTGTGGCTTGGTCCAAGGGCTGAGTCCTCCACCGTACTGTCTCGACGCCTCGTCCTCGATGGATATGACCGCAGATGCTCAACTTGGGCCTGATCTTCGACAATCTTCGTAACAAAGCTGGGCACCCTTCTCTGCCGTCTCTTGAAGCTTCTGCCGATCCATCGCAATGCCCTTTTGGCGGTGTATGAGTCACGACAATGTCTACCCCTTCTGGAATCTTATTCCATACGTCTTCCGCTTCCTCTGCTCGGTACTGGAAGGCCCAATTCGCTTGTTGGGGTGTATACGGGCTACCGAATACCGTGAACCGTGTTCCCGGTCCTTTTGGTGAGGTAAGCTCGACCACAGTAGTGGTATGCTCAAGGTACGTAATCGACTTTGACTCGACCAACAATTTTTTGCACGCCGTGGGGTCTTGGTCGCCAGGCCATTTCCACGAGCCCTTGTTTTTGTTGAAAAACGGCGCATCGAGTGTGATTTCGTGATTGCCTGCTCAGGAAGGAACAAGAGAAAAAAAACTCATCAGCCCCACCAACCATTTCAACCGGGATAGGAATTGTAAATTACCAGCAACAACAATTTTTGCTTCAAAGTCTTGCTTCTCTATCCATTGCACAGCTTTTTTCAATTCACTATAACTCCCTTGATTTGTCAAGTCGCCGGCGTGGATGAGCACGTCACCTCGAGGTAGCTTGGGTGTCTGGTTGTGCGTATCCGATACGCACACTATGCGCGTTTTGCGCGTGCATGGTGTTGAAACGGGTGCGGGCATGCTTAGGCACGTGTGGGGGGTTCAGAGGAGGGGTGTGGTTCGGGTGGGCACCAACCAACTACACCTCACCAAGCTAACCCCTCACCGACATTAGAAAGGCAAAAAAAAAAGACTTGGACCTTCTAGCCAATAAAGCTAGAATGCAATATAGAATAGAAAGCAGACGTGGTGGAAGAAGAGGGAAAGAGGGTTGGAAATCAAGATCATGAGCTGTGCATACGTCATACCCTCTTACTACACATCTGCCCCCCATTCTAGACCCCGTGTGTACCTGAACATCCCCCCTTCAGCCTCATGAGTCTTGCAAACAGCAGTGGCATCATATTGCTTGTTCCCGCCCGCCCAGTCCCTGGAGTGATGGACAGGTACACCCGTCTGTGGCAAACGGGCAAAGTCCCTTTGTGATCGTCCTGGTCTATCTTTCTTCCCTGACACGAGGAGGGGAGAGGAGGGGTTGTATTTGCTTGTTGTCGCCGCACCTCGGCCTGTTTGACCCTTTTTTTTTCTCTTTCGCCACCGCCACCCCACCACCACGGTGCCAAGGCTTTCCGAGTAACTTGCCGTGTGCTTGCCCGCTGTCAAGTTGTTTGGTTCAGGGTGAGATGCAAGTCATTAGCCCTTTTTCTTTTCTTTTCTTTTGCGGCAGATGTGGAAGGGAGGGGGGGGGTGCGCGTGTGTAGGGTGATCTTGGGTGGGTGTAGACTAGTGTAGTCTGTTTCAGCAAACGGGCTGTAACGTCACGTGTGGGGCTGTGAAGATGTGGGTATAGGGGTTACAGGAGAATAGTCATTGTAGGCTTGTGGTCTAACAGTGGCAATGCTTCTGGGGGTGAAGGGAACTTTACTCCTTTTTGGGAGTTAGTGTTTAGTACTTTGTGGAGAGGAAAGGGGGCCTTTGTAGGATGTAGAGCGTTGTGCTGCATGCAAGAGAAGAAGAGATGATGCAAATATTTGGAAAGTTAAATGTCAATGAGGTGGGTGTATGGACTCACGAGTTTTTGTCTGTATTGTAATATTTCACATCAATCAGGTTTTGAATCTTGCAATAGAAAAATCGTCAAGTACATTAAGAATAAATCAGGTCTCCCAAGTCCATTTCAGACACATATCCAAGGATGATGTATAGAAATGGTATCATTTCACTTGTCATGAAGCCACAATACCTTACACGTGTTGAGCATATACCTTCTTCTCTCGGCAAATCAGCACATTGCTGTTGCTAGGGGCAAGTCTACGGTAGTAATGCTTCCAGAAGCACTGTGTCACTTCGAAGCTCTTACAAACCTGTAGCTACATAGACATACTAATAACACATCATTGATCAGATGAGTAGAAGTGAAGCTGCTAAATTACATTTTGAAGTATTTACATAAGACTGACGATTTGTCTCTATAAAAAGCTGGAACTGGCCTTTTATCGTTGAACTTGGAAAATTTAGCATTAATGAGGTGGATGAATCTGTGAGAAATTTGCAGACGCTGTCAACCTCGTGTAATCAGACAAGTGAAGGAGCAAATTTAATATTTGTTCACATACACAAATTGTTTTCTTTCTTGGTAAAACTGCCTTTAAGGAATCGTATGCTTGGTTTAGCACCGAAATACCACATATCACTCCTCAAGCGTTATTAAGACAGTCTCCAGGTTGACTCACTGACTTCTGGTATACGCCTTACCGAGCCGTCTTTCTTCGCGTCAAAACGCACTGCCAGAGCCATGTATAGCCAAAACTATGCATCGATCCTCGTATGGTTTTCATGGTGTTTTGTTCTCCATCCCAACACAGTAATTGGCAAAGTTGAAGTCATGATTGGTACTACAGGCGACCCACCAACCTTGCAAAGGGCAAAGCACCACTCAGTTAAGGCCGAACAATCACTTTCTCACTCACTCGTCAGCCCGAAGAAAGAGCGAAGGACTACAAGTGGATGGATTCGGCCCACAGGGGGTAGTCGCGTGGTGAGAAAAAGCTGGTCCGTCCTTCTTGCCTTGTTCACCTTCACCCACGGTTTTAGTGTCTCGCTACAATCAATCTCCACCGTTGCATTTGTCAATATTTCTCTCATATCGCTTTTGCGAGATGAGGTATAACACCATTCGCAATCCGTATTCTTTCACTGTGAAACAGAATCGATCGTTTTCCTGATTGAGCAAATATCACGTACGGACAAATAGATCCGCAATCGCGCATCAGTTTGACTGACGAATATCCCAGAAGCATTCTCACCTGTCCAGTGTCTCGCCCAGAGATATCGCACCGTATCTTAGTTTTTACCCGACTTGCCACTGCATTTCCGCGACCATATAGAATAAACGCTCGAGGATGGATCCGACTACCAACAACACGAATGACATACAGCATCTGGTATATGACAGAGATGCTCCTTTCGTTACTCCTTCCACACCAACGCCACCGACACCGATTCAGCCTATTACCACGATCGTGCCTGTACTAGAACAGACCGTGTACAACGAAGCCGACGAGACGGGGGGTTGCGAGAGGACACTCGACTACGTCCGAGTCCAGCTCAAGGCCTTGAGATACCTAGCATCCTACCCATCAGATGCGCTCACCGGGCGACAAGCATGCAAGTGGACGCAAATGATCTCGCCATCGGATTTCGAGCCAACAGCGCAAGAGGCACTGCGTCTATGCTACTACCTGCGCTCCCAAGGCTTCGACACATGTGCAAAATTCAAGCGTGGATACATGAAGCTTTACGTTGCAAACCAGGAAAGCAACAGGCGGAATTCACAAGTCGATGTGCTGTATTGGAGGCAAGATGTCACGACCAACGAGATCACATATGCGTGCTCTCCCGGGATATCAGAGCCATTGGTAGTAGGAGGAGGAGGAGGCAGACGCCCCGCTGTTGCGTCGCTATCACTACATGCCACCGAAGGTCGATCGCTTTACGACCACTACTACGCTCAACGAAGGCAGGACCCGCGTACGATAGACAGCCTTGCGACTCTTGCATCTGCAGCAGAAATCCGGTTGCAAAACTTGGTCGCCGGTGAGAATCCTGATCCGGGGTAAGTAGTCCCCCCCCTTGTTCCTTGACGCATATCCCGACAGTAATACTAAACAAATCAAAACAGTGAGATTGAAGTCACGCTTATGCAGCTTGAAGAATACCGCGCACTGCTCCGTGGGGAGTAGTATATCCACGCTTCTCCGATACCAATCCGAGAGCTTATAAGGGCAGTGTGGGATAGGTGGAGAGCACAAGTGCGCGAGTTGGAGAGTGTACGCGCGTTCTGGGGGATTACCATGGGTAGGCGTCGCGCGAGCGTTTGACGGTGTACTGGGGGGGAATTTTTTTTTGGATGGGACTTGGGCTGCACTTTCTGGGAAAGAATGGCCTTTTTCGAAGATTGAATCTTTCTCACCTCGGGTATGTACGTACCGCTGATAGGTAAATGGATAGTGCAGATTATGTGCACTGCGGTACTGGGTAGCGTAGCTAGCGTAGGTACCGAGGCTAATGATGACGCGGAAATAGACATGTGGATGATAAGGTACAGTGGCGCTAGGCGGCCACAAAAAGGCGGTCATGTAATCGAAAACAAGATATACAGTAGTAGTGATGCTTGTTGTGCTTGGCGCACGTGGAATCAAGTTTTCTAGAAGGAAACTTGCTTCCTTCCTCCTCCCCCCCTTAGCAGGCATGAGCACGCGTACGCAAAGTATCGGAGCCAGTGCCTCTAGGTCCATTGTTAATTGAGCGCGGATTACGAAGCGTGGACAATGCATGACAACACCGGAAAAGCTCCGATGACGATGCGTGTCGTTGTGTTATGCACCGGGACGCCTGACTAGTCAGCAATCATCAAGTTTATATATAAGTACATGTATACACGGGTAGCGTCATGCTGCAGATGCTGTGTGTTTTTTTATTAAGGGGGGATCCTGCGTGCTCAAGGATATCTGTTGTCAATAGAGTGTGGCGCGTATTAATCAACATGTTGTTTGGGAAAGGGCAGATGCAAGACGCAAGACGCGGATGCTCACAACATAAGCCTTGGCAACCATCTGTACCAGGCACGGACGCATAGCGGACCGCTGTCTGCAGCCCACACGGACCAGATTACCAATGATACGATGAACCAAATTGCCTGGCACGGAGGGCGTTGACCTGCATGTTGAACCCAGCGCGGGAAATTGAGCCCACAGACACTCCTTTGCAGAGCTGATTGCGGGGAAAGACAATGGGACGTTTTGGGCCATGGGACACACACACACACACACACAGAGAGCTTGCTTAGGGACAAGACACAGCAATGGACATGGCAGAATGCGCAGGAAAGCTCGACGAAACAAAAGCAGGGCAAGGCAAAGACAAAGGATGGAACAAGAGGTTGGCTGGTATATCGATGCAAGTATGCGCTAGGCGCAGCGGCGCGCGTAGATCAGTTGGCCAAGCGAGAGGCAATCGGGCGTGCGCGACGCGCTCACGACGCGGGGGGCCCGTCCGGTGCATCCGGCGGCTGTGGTGATGGAAGAAAAACCAAGGACAGATGTTTGTTTGCGGTTGCAAAGCTGTGGAGGGTGTGGGTGTGGGTGTGGGTGTGTGGATGGAGATGGGACTAGCAAGGCAGAGAGATAGGGATTTGCCGTTTGCAGGCTGTTGCTGCTGCTGCAGTGGTGAGCAGCGACGATGCAGGGCTTACTACTGGCTGGCCGGGAGCCTTGTCAGCGACTCGGGCCACGACTGGGGCGGATGAGGGGGCCAAGGTTGAACAGGAGGCAGCAGGCTGGCAGGCTGGGTGTCGAGGGGCGAGGGACGAGGGCGGGTGAAGTCGAGTGGGTGGTGTCGGGCGGGTGGTGGATGGAGAAGCGGAAGGTGGTGGTGAGGCGAGGGCAGGCGCGTTGGGGCGGTGATGGAAACGGGGCTAGTGCGGCGCAGAGGCCACCCCGTCACAGACAGGCGGAGGGCAGGCGCGGGCAAGGCGGCGGGCAGGCGCAAACAGGTCGAGCGAGCAGCGCAGCGAGGCAGCGTGGGCGTGTCGACGCTGTGGCTCGCGGTGCATGCTCGAAGACGCGCTCGTCGGCGCCGTTGGAGGTCGCGAAAAATTTCCTCGACTCCCTGAAACGGGACGCACGGACCAGGCCACTAGCCCGTTCCTGGTGGTGATCCAGCCTACTTAATGACCTGTTCATTCTCTTAGATAGGCCCGCAGCCCACCTTCTCCGACGCGCTCGCGGCACCGCATCGAGTTACCATCCCGTCACGTGACCTCTCCAGTGCTGCGCCCACCGCACCCCAGCACCCCTGCCACAGAGGCTTCTTGCGCTGTGTGTGTGCCGCTGCATTTGCGTGTGCGCTTGGTGCGCCTTCCATGGCACTCGCCTGCGGGCGCATAGTAGTAATTTCTAATCCCGCTGGCCACGATGAGGTTTGTCGCATATTCCCACGCCTGCTGCATGCATGTCGCGCTAACCCGGCCATAGTGCCACCAGATTGGACCGTCTCGTCACGTAAGTGCACCCGACTCCAGCTTTGCACATGGCCTTGCACTGCATCCCGACACGCCAGAAAGAACAAAAAAATGCTCGCCATGTCCCTCGCATACCATGCCGTCCCATGCATCCCCCCCTTCCCCCCGCCCCGACATGGCATTGTTGCCCCTCTTGTCCCCTCTGGCCCACCCTTGTCGCATGCTCGCTAACCCGCGCCAAGGCTCCTCGAGACTGGCAGCACAGCATTGATCCGCAACACAGCAGCCGACCAACTCGCTGACGTCCAGAAACAACATCCCGATGAACTATTCAACCTCCTCACCCGTGTCATCCCTTACCTAAGGTCAAAGAGCTGGGAGACTCGAGTCGCTGCCGCCAAGGCCATTGGCGGCATTGCCGCTAACGCCGACAAGTTTGACCCCAATGCTGCTGATGACGATGCCCATGACTCCACCAAGCCCGCCGTCAAGTCCGAGTCAAATCACAGTGTCAAGTCCCAAGACAGCAATGGCGCCGTCAAGAAAGAAGAAAATGGCGATGCTGCCTTGCCGCCCCTCTCCCACGGACTCGATCTAGCTACCCTCGACCTGCCCTCCATCCTCAAGTTTGGTAAAGTCCTCGCTTCTTCTGGTGCAAAGGAGCATGACTACAAGCTGGCTGCCATGGACCCCGCCGAGCGCCTCGAGTACCAGAAGAGTACCCTCCTCAAGCGCCTTGGCTTCGAGGGTCCATGGACCGAGGACCTCTCGCCACCCCACGAAACCATGCCTCAAACACCCGGGCCCAAGACGCCTGCACCAAATCGCATCGACACCAATGTCCCACGTGCCGACAGTTCAAATCTAGCCTCTTCTCCCCCCCCTGCCTTGGCCACGCCCAACGGCCAGGGACTAAGTAAAAGGCAGCAAAACGCCCTCAAACGCAAGCAAAAAAAGAATGCTGCCGGAGGTGCTAACAAGGTCCAAATTGTTGATTTTAACGCAAACTCACGCAAAGATTCACAATCAGATGCAGTAGAAACCCCCAGTCGCCCCCATCCCATTGCCCTTAAGCTCGAAAAGTCGGAGAACGGCGACGAAGGCGGCGAAGGCGGTGTAAACGACTACTTTTCGCTCGAGCGCAACGGCGGAGACGACGACGCAAAGTTTGTCAAGGAGTTCAAGGGCGCGCCCGTACCCGAAAAGTCGTCGTTTCAGGCCGAGGCGGTGGAGGCTGGGCTAGAGTGGCCATTCGAACGTGTGTGTTCGTATCTTGCTGTCGAGCTTTTTGACTTCACCTGGGAGGTCCGTCATGGGGCTGCCATGGGTCTTCGAGAAATCCTCCGTGTGCACGGCGCCGGCGCCGGAAGGCGGAAAGGGCTCACTCGAGCCGAGAATGATCAGCTCAATCAACAATGGCTCAACGACCTGGCGTGTCGCATGATTTGCATCTTCATGCTCGATCGCTTTGCAGACTTCACTGGTGATAATGTCATTGCACCAATACGTGAAACTGCAGGACAAGCACTCGGTTCCTTGCTGCAATACATGACTGGCGACAACGTGCTGGCAACTTTCAGAGTCCTCAATCGCCTAATCATGAACCAGGACTTGCCTGTTGACACCAACCCCCTCAGTGCACCCTGGGCCCTTTGCCAGGGTGGTATGATTGGCTTACGGTACCTTGTCGCTGTGCGAAACGACCTGCTCCTTCAAGATGGTACCTTGATGGATGGAGTGCTCGCTGCAGTCACGAATGGCCTGAGTAATGACGATGATGATGTTCGAGCCATTAGTGCCGCCACTCTAATTCCCGTCGTAAAGGAGTTCATCGAGATGCGGCCCAAGGCACTCGAAGGATTGATGAACGTCGTCTGGTCATGTCTCTCCAGCTTGCAGGATGATCTCAGTGCTAGTACCGGTTTCATCATGGACTTGCTGGCTAAACTTTGCGGCTTCCCTCAGGTCCTCGAGGCCATGCAAGCAAACGCTCGCCAAGACCCAAGCCAGTCGTTCCATGAGCTCGTCCCTCGCCTCTTCCCCTTCCTACGACATACCATTACCAGCGTTCGTGCGGCTGTGTTGCGTGCACTAATCACATTCCTCAATATCCAGAGCCAAGACTCTGATGGCTGGATAGACAGCAAGGCGTTGCAGTTGATATTCCAGAACATTTTGCTTGAACGCAATGAAGGTGTCCTCAAGCTTTCCATTCAGCTTTGGGATGCCGTAGTTGCAAGCCTGGGCAGTCAATTACCCAATCATCTGGAACCCGTGTTAGATGCCATTGTTCCTCTCACCCTTACACCCATCGGAGTCTCTCGCCACCCCATCTCCCTGGATAAGTCGCTTCTCATCAAACCTTCAGGCCAAGCCATGGGACCACCACCCAATACTGAGACAGGCCGGAAATCGACACCCCCTGATGGCGCCGAACCGGCCCAAAAGAGGAGAAAGAAGTCCCGCCCAGGAAAAGACGACATGGCGATACCAACACCATCCTCTCAATCTCACAACGTCGACGGACACATGATTACTGGAGATCTGGAACTTATTGGAGCAGATGTCATGATCAGATCCAGAACCTCCGCAGCCCAAGCTTTGGGAACAGCCATGGGCGCCTGGCCCGAAGAATCGCGACTCCAGGCTTTCAAGTCCAGGCTGGTAAGCCCACTGTCCTCACCAAACTCCACGACTCAATTGACGGCTGCCATTATTATC